AACCCCATATATTCAATTTTTGTTGAAATCACACAAAGTTTAATTTTGGACCCCAATTCGGACCAACTTGAAAACTGGGCCCAAAATTAAAAATCTAAATACATTTTTAGATTCAGCATATCAAAGAACCCCATATATTCAATTTTTGTTAAAATCAAACTAAGTTTAATTTTGGACCCTTTGGACCTTAATGTAGACCAATTTGAAAGCTGGACCCAAAATTAAAAATCTAAATACACGGTCAGATTCAGCATAACAAATAAATAAATGTGGTCAAAGATTTTACAAATCTAATGCGCCATACTGTGCATGCAATTAAAGATTACTTTTTGAAATTTTTCAATATTTGAAATTTGAAAAAAAAAATAATATTTGAAGAATAATTCTTTTTAATTTCTGAAATCTGAAATGAGAAAAAATTGACCCCCCACAATTTCTTTTTACCCTTCCCCCCCCCCCCTTTTTCCCCCCAAAAATTCTTTCCCTCAAGATATGGTCACAATCTCAATTCAAATTTCCAATGAAATTTGCAACCATAATTACCCATTTAAATTTACCATAGTGCTAACTTAATCTATTTTATAATAGAATTTAAAATATGGTGTCAAATCTTTCATATGGATTTTTTTGTAAAAAAAAAAAGATGCAACATTTGCAAATATTTTATTGGTCTTCCTTTATAAATATGCATTTCTTTAAACAAAATTTAAAATCAGTGTAAGGGAAGTAATCAAAACGTATTTGGATTACCTCCCTTACACTGTTTTAAATTGTTCATTAACCATTACTTTATACATAATTTAAAAGCAGTGTAAGGATGGTAATTCAAATGATTTATTTGATTTATCTCCCTTTCACTGCTTTAAATTATGTTTTGTACTAAAGTATTTGTCCACTAACCAGGACAACCTTGTTTTCCCCCTTTTATGCCCTTAATTCCTAAACGGTTTGAGCCATAACCCCCCAAAGCAAGTCCTAACCGTCCCTTTGTGGTATGGAAACTTGTGGTATAATTTCAGAGAGATCCATACACCGTTCAACAAGTTATTGTCTGGAAACTAGAAAATGCTTATGTTTGGCCCCTTTTTGGCCCCTTATTCCTTAACTGTTGGTACCATAACCCCAAAAATCAATCCCAACCTTCCTTTTGTGGTATTTAACCTTATGGTAAAATTTCATAGAGATCCATTCACTTAAACTAAAGTTATAGTGCGAAAACCAATGTGTCTTCGGACGACAACGCCGGACGACGACGATGACGCCAACGTCATACCAATATACGACCGCAAAAAATGTTTGCTGTCGTATAAAAAGGCTTATTTTTGGCCCCTAATTCCTTAACTGTTGGTACCATAACCCCCAAAATCAATCTCAACCTTCCATTTGTGATATTGAACCTTATGGTAAAATTTCATAGAGATCCATTCACTTTTACTAAAGTAAGAGTGCGAAAACCAATGTGTCTTCGGACAACGACGACGAAGCCGGACGATGAGGACGCCAACGTCATACCAATATATGACTGCAAAATTTTTTTGGGGTAGTATAAAACTTACTTGACATTTAGAAGAAAATAAAAATTTTGCAAATTTTTCCATTTATTAAGGGGCATAACTCTAGAATGGTTAACGTGACACCACCAAAATTCAAACTTGATCTGTGTTTTGTGGTAATAAGCATTGTGTATAGTTTCATAACATTTGGTTGAGGCAAACTCAAGTTAGAGAATGGAAACCAATTTTGGGACGTACATACGGACAAGGGTAAAACTTAATGCCCCCACCGCTATGGCGGGGGCATAAAAAAACATTTGTCGCTAACTCTTATAGTTTATGAAGAGCAGCAATAACAATGTTTTTGGTAATTGGGAAGATTACTCTTATAAGCTTAAGTCAAACAGTACACTTTGGTGCCCCTAATAAAAAGATAGATTTTATTAACCCCATACTTGGTACCAAAGATCATTTTGATATTTCGCATACTTTTTTTAACTTTTGACTTTGAAATTCGGCGGAGGAAAAAGAATAATAATAATAAACAGACGAAATACAGTAAGGTCTTTCCATTGAGAAAGGAAAGACCTTAATAAGAATTTTATTAATTTAAAATCTGTTGGTACCATAACCCCCAAAATCAATCCCAACCTTCCATTTGTCATGTCTGTGATATTGAACCTTATGGTAAAATTTCATAGAGATCCATTCACTTAAACTAAAGTTAGAGTGCGAAAACCAATGTGTCTTCGGACAACGACGATGACGCCATCGTCATACCTATATACGACCGCAAAACTTTTTTGCGGTAGTATAAAAATTACTTGACATTTAGAAGAAAATAAAAAAATTTGCAAATTTTTCCATTTATAAAGGGGCATAACTCTAGAATGGTTAACGTGACATCACCAAAATTCAAACTTGATCTGTGTTTTGTGGTAATAAGCATTGTGTATAAGTTTCATAACATTTGGTTGAGGCAAATTAAGTTGGAGAACGGAAACTAAAAATTTTGCAATTTTTCCATTTATAACAGTACTAGTCAGGGGTACTACTTGTACAAGTAATTTTTATTTACTTGAAGAAGTAGTTATAATATACTTATATAAGTAAATTTGTAGGATACTTATACAAGTGTATTTTATTTACTTGTATAAGTAAATAATTTTTTGGCCTAGTTATGTCCCTTAGACATTCAGACTTTTTTACTTATCAGCTTATACAAGTAAAAAAGTCATCATATCTTCTTTTCTTGAATTCTTAGAACTTCTTTAAAATTTGCTCTAACAGAATTTTGAATTGTCTGTCCTTTGAAGATGTCTTTACTATTCATTTAAGTGTAATTTCATGGACAATGAAAATCTCATTTGTCTGTTATGTATCTTAAGAACACTGCTCATTTACAAGTCCCCAAGGAGCAATTTTTGAAGGCCTTGTGCAAATACTTAAGACCTTTGCTCAATCAGTTTCTTTGTTGAATTAATGAGATGAAACATTGAACTCTTATCAAAAATTATGAGCTAACCTGAGAAAAATTGTTAAAGGCATGATTTTACATCTCAAAACTTGAGAATTTTTGTGGGATTGTACTTATACAAGTAAATTTTTTTAGAAATTTAAGGGGAGATTATTCAAACAATATAATTAACTTGTATAAGTATATTTTATTTACGTCTTCAAGTAAATAAAGATTACTTGTACAAGTAGTACCCCTGACTGTATAAAGGGGCATAACTCTAGAACGGTTAAAGTGACGCCACCAAAATTCAAACTTGATCTGTGTGTTGTGGTAATATATAAGCATTGAGTATAAGTTTCATAACATTTGGTTGAGGCAAACTCATGTTAGAGAATGGAAACCAATTTTGGGACATACGTACATACGTACGTACAGACGGACAAGGGTAAAACTTAATGCCCCCACTGCTACGGTAGGGGCATAAAAAAACATTTGTCGCTAACTCTTATAGTTTATGAAGAGCAGCAATAACAATGTTTTTGGTAATTGGGAAGATAACTCTTATAAGCTTAAGATAACAAGTACACTTTGGTGCCCCTAATAACAAGATAGATTATATATTGCCTCAACCAAATTTTATGAAACTTATACACAATACTTATTACCACAAAACTCAGATCAAGTACAAATTTGGGTAGCGTCACTTTTACCGTTCTTTGGTTATGTCCCTTTATAACTTTATATGATATACAAGCGGGGGCATCATCTGTGTCCATGGGACACATTCTCCATTTATTTATATTATGCCCCTTGAAAATATTGATTTATATGGAAATATATATATATATATATATATAATTATTAACCCGATACTTGGTACCAACATGACCAAAGATCAATTTAAAATCCAAACAATAAGAATGTTACTAAATTGACAAACAACCATAATTATAAATCACAAAACGAAAGACATAAAACAATACAAACATTGAAATGAAAAATAAAGATTATTAATATTTATCATGTTTATTATAATACTTTTTTTGACAACATGCCTCCTCTAAAAAAATATCATTTCAAATATTTTGATTATACATCATTTTTTTGTACATGTTATACTAGTATATAACATTATAATGTAAGTCACCAATCACACACAGTTCATATATTGACATTATAATTGTTTCTCTCATTATACATTTCACTTATACTGTTAACAATGATAAGTAATATATATATTACCTTTTATTCTGTCCATGATGTGTTCATGAAGAATTTCAATTTACATAAGAAAAGATAACACTAAAAAAGTCTAATATTGACTTGGAAACTTTCATAACTAACATTTTTTGAATGTAGGGCAAAATATCACAGGACAGAACGTCACAATTCAATTTTGAGAGAACTGTTTCTTTGATTAAGAAAAGACTTATTTTTTAAGACGTGTTTTTTTATTACATTTGATGAAATTACTGTTATGAAAACAAGCTGTCAGTCTTTTTAGTGACTGGCTTCATGGTGCTAAGAAATATCCTTTGTATGATTAATATTTAATAAATCTTCATTTAACCATGTTTATGAATAATCTCATAAACATTAAAATGAATTTATTTCAAGGATTTTCCCTTACATATTCAAACACTTGTTTAAACTAATTAATTGTGACTTTTTGTCCGTGTACAATGTAGTAAATAAGTGACTTTCTGTCCTGTGACTATATATCTGTCCCCTTACCCAGTAATTGACCAGGTAAGGACTGTCTTTAATAGTAATATTCTATCAAAATTTCAATTGACCAGTATTTGCCAGTATTGACCAGTATTTGCCAGTATTTCCCGTTATTTACCGGTATTTACCGCTGGCCTGGTCAATACTAGTATTGACCGCTTTTTTGCCAACCTTGGTGTCATCAGATTCTGATTCACAGAAAACACTTTAGAACATACATCACATTGAAAAGGTTTTTCACCAGTATGTATTCTCATGTGTATCCTAAGAGCTTGATGCTGACAAAACCTTTTAGAACATTTATACATCACATCGAAAAGGTTTATCACCAGTATGTATTCTCATGTGTACCTTAAGAGCTTGATGCTGACAAAACCTTTTAGAACATACATCACATTGAAAAGGTTTATCACCAGTATGTATTCTCATGTGTATCCTAAGAGCCTGATGCATACGAAATCTTTTAGAACATAAATCACATCCAAAAGGTTTATCACCAGTATGTATTCTCATGTGTATCCTAAGAGCCTGATGCATACGAAATCTTTTAGAACGTAAATCACATCCAAAAGGTTTATCACCAGTATGTATTCTCATGTGTACCTTAAGAGCCTGATGCACACGAAATCTTTTAGAACATACATCACATTGAAAAGGTTTTTCACCAGTATGTCTTTTCATGTGTAGCTTAAGAGACTGATTCAGACGAAATATTTTAGAACATACATCACATTTAAAAAGTTTGTCAACAGCGTGTATGCTCGTGTGTCTTTCTAAGTCAGTACTCTCAAAAATTCTTTTATCACATGTACCATATATATAAGGATATACATGTATATTAAAACAAATGTACCTCTAAACATAAAACTAGTAAAGCTTCTATTCATGCATACAGCACATTCAAATGGCATTTCCAAAGTATGTGTTCCTAAGTTCTTATTCTGTAAGATTTCCTCATCAAATTTGTCAGGTCTATAAGTTTTACTGCAAGTTTTTTTATTCTGTGTCTCTCTGAGTTATGAGGGGTATTAAACTCTTTTATGGTCTTTCATGTCTTTACCACATGCCTTGGATTGTTGAGGTTCATCACAATCATGACAAGTATGTACGTGTTCTTCTGTGGTTCTGTAAGTCTATTCTATTTTTAAATTCTATGCTGCATACATCACATCGAAAAGGTTTATCTCCAGTATGTGTTCTCATGTGTACCTTAAGATCCTGGGTCAGTCGCAACCCTTTAGAACATAAATCACATCAAAAAGGTTAATCTCCAGTATGTATTCTCATGTGTATTTTAAGAGTCTGATTCTGACTAAACACTTTATCACATACATCACATTTATAAGATTTAGCACATACATTATATTTGTAAAGTTTAATGCCACTATGTGTTCTCATGTGTGCTACTAGATTTTCATTACTACTACACTCTATACCACAGGCAGTACAAACAGTATCAATATTTTCTACTGATTGGCAATTCATCTGTATTTGTGAGTGACCAGTAGCCTCATCAAGGGAGATAATTGTGTAAGATTTATTTTGATTATCAGAAATTTCATCTGTTTCTGTCCTTTCTTGTTTGTATGGTAATACCTCATCTAAAATTTCGTCAGTTGAGATGCTTTTGGATCCAGTTTCATCATTTACACATTTATAAGATCTAGCACATACATTATATTTGTAAAGTTTAATTCCACTATGTGTTCTCATGTGTCTCTTAAGAATCCAATTTTTACTAAACACTTTATCACATACATCACATTTAAAAAATGGATTATAAGATCTACCATGAACATTATACTTGTAAAGTTTGATGCCACTATGTGTTCTCATGTGTCCCACTAGATTTTCATTACTACTACACTCTATACCACAGACAGTACAAACAGTAGCAATATTTTCTCCAGATTGGCAATTCATCTGTATTTGTGATGAGTGACCAGAAGCCTCATCAAGGGAGATAATTGTGTAAAATTTATTTTCATTATCAGAAATTTCATCAGTTTCTGTCCTTTCTTGTTTGTATGGTAATATCTTATCTACAATTTCATCAGTTGAGATGCTTTTGGATCCAGTTTCATCTTCATTATTAGAAAACTTATCCATTTCTGTACTTGCTTGTCCAGGACTGAAGAAAAATCTTGATGGTTTGGATTTAGTCTGATCCTGATAAGCAATTCTATAAAAATATGCTGAAATACAAAAATACTATGTTTAGAAAGATATCTAAGAATCTACAAAAACTACACAACCATATTACCAAAACATTATGATGAACCTTGGTGGATAAAACACAACAATAGTACCAAACATTATGATGAACCTTGACGAATAAAACACAACCATATTACCATGATTACCTAAACATCATGATGGACCTTGATGAATAAAACACAACCATATTACCATGATTACCAAAACATCATGATGGACTTTGATGAATAAAACACAACCATATTACCATGATTACCAAAACATTATGATTGACCTGGATGAATAAAACACAAAAATATTACCATGATAACCAAAACATTATGATGGACCTTGATGAATAAAACACAACCATATTACCATGATTACCTAAACATTATGATGGACCTTGATGAATAAAACACAACCATATTACCATGATTACCAAAACATCATGATGGACTTTGATGAATAAAACACAACCATATTACCTAAACATAATTATGAACCTTGATGAATAAAACACAACCATATTACCATGATTACCAAAACATTATGATGGACTTTGATGAATAAAACACAACCATATTACCAAAACATTATGATGAACCTTGATGAATAAAACACAACCATATTACCATGATTACCAAAACATTATGATGGACCTTGATGAATAAAACAAAACCATATTACAAAAACATCATGTTGAACCTTGATGAATAAAACACAACCATATTACTATGATTACCTAAACACTACATGTGTTTGATGGACCTTGATAAATAAAACACAACCATATTACCATGAGTACCCAAACATTATGATGTACTTGCTTGTCCAGGACTGAAGAAAAATCTTGATGGTTTGGATTTAGTCTGATCCTGATAAGCAATTCTATAAAAATATGCTGAAATACAAAAATACTATGTTTAGAAAGATATCTAAGAATCTACAAAAACTACACAACCATATTACCAAAACATTATGATGAACCTTGGTGGATAAAACACAACAATAGTACCAAACATTATGATGAACCTTGATGAATAAAACACAACAATATTACCATGATAACCAAAACATAATGATGGACCTTGATGAATAAAACACAACCATATTACCAAAACATCATGATGAACCTTGATGAATAAAACACAACCATATAACCATGATTACCTAAACATCATGATGGACCTTGATGAATAAAACACAACCATATTACCAAAACATCATGATGAACCTTGATGAATAAAACACAACCATATTACCATGATTACCTAAACATCATGATGGACCTTGATGAATAAAACACAACCATATTACCAAAACATCATGATGAACCTTGATGAATAAAACACAACCATATTACCATGATTACCTAAACATTATGATGGACCTTGATGAATAAAACACAACCATATTACAATTATTACCTAAACATTATGATGGACCTTGATGAATAAAACACAACCATATTACCATGATTACCAAAACATCATGATGGACTTTGATGAATAAAACACAACCATATAACCATGATTACCTAAACATCATGATGGACCTTGATGAATAAAACACAACCATATTACCAAAACATCATGATGAACCTTGATGAATAAAACACAACCATATTACCATGATTACCTAAACATTATGATGGACCTTGATGAATAAAACACAACCATATTACCAAAACATCATGATGAACCTTGATGAATAAAACACAACCATATTACCATGATTACCTAAACATTATGATGGACCTTGATGAATAAAACACAACCATATTACCATTATTACCTAAACATTATGATGGACCTTGATGAATAAAACACAACCATATTACCATGATTACCTAAACATCATGATGGACCTTGATGAATAAAACACAACCATGATTACCAAAACATCATGATGAACCTTGATGAATAAAACACAACCATATAACCATGATTACCTAAACATCATGATGGACCTTGATGAATAAAACACAACCATATTACCAAAACATCATGATGAACCTTGATGAATAAAACACAACCATATTACCATGATTACCTAAACATCATGATGGACCTTGATGAATAAAACACAACCATATTACCAAAACATCATGATGAACCTTGATAAATAAAACACAACCATATTACCATGATTACCTAAACATTATGATGGACCTTGATGAATAAAACACAACCATATTACCATGATTACCAAAACATCATGATGGACTTTGATGAATAAAACACAACCATATTACCATGATTACCAAAACATTATGATTGACCTTGATGAATAAAACACAACAATATTACAATGATAACCAAAACATTATGATGGACCTTGATGAATAAAACACAACCATATTACCATGATTACCTAAACATTATGATGGACCTTGATGAATAAAACATAACCATATTACCATGATTACCAAAACATTATGATGGACTTTGATGAATAAAACACAACCATATTACCAAATCTTTATGATGAACTTTGATGAATAAAACACAACCATATTACCATGATTACCAAAACATTATGATGGACCTTGATGAATAAAACAAAACCATATTACAAAAACATCATGTTGAACCTTGATGAATAAAACACAACCATATTACTATGATTACCTTAACACTACATGTGTTTGATGGACCTTGATAAATAAAACACAACCATATTACCATGAGTACCCAAACATTATGATGTACTTGCTTGTCCAGGACTGAAGAAAAATCTTGATTGTTTGGATTTAGTCTGATCCTGATAAGCAATTCTATAAAAATATGCTGAAATACAAAAATACTATGTTTAGAAAGATATCTAAGAATCTACAAAAACTACACAACCATATTACCAAAACATTATGATGAACCTTGGTGGATAAAACACAACAATAGTACCAAACATTATGATGAACCTTGATGAATAAAACACAACAATATTACCATGATAACCAAAACATAATGATGGACCTTGATGAATAAAACACAACCATATTACCAAAACATCATGATGAACCTTGATGAATAAAACACAACCATATAACCATGATTACCTAAACATCATGATGGACCTTGATGAATAAAACACAACCATATTACCAAAACATCATGATGAACCTTGATGAATAAAACACAACCATAATGATATTACCATGATTACCTAAACATCATGATGGACCTTGATGAATAAAACACAACCATATTACCAAAACATCATGATGAACCTTGATGAATAAAACACAACCATATTACCATGATTACCTAAACATTATGATGGACCTTGATGAATAAAACACAACCATATTACCATGATTACCTAAACATTATGATGGACCTTGATGAATAAAACACAACCATATTACCATGATTACCAAAACATCATGATGGACTTTGATGAATAAAACACAACCATATTACCATGATTACTAAAACATTATGATTGACCTTGATGAATAAAACACAACAATATTACCATGATAACCAAAACATTATGATGGACCTTGATGAATAAAACACAACCATATTACCATGATTACCAAAACATCATGATGGACCTTGATGAATAAAACATAACCATATTACCATGATAACCAAAACATTATGATGGACCTTGATGAATAAAACACAACAATATTACCATGATAACCAAAACATTATGATGGACCTTGATGAATAAAACATAACCATATTACCATGATTACCAAAACATCATGATGGACCTTGATGAATAAAACACAACCATATTACCAAAACATCATGTTGAACCTTGATGAATAAAACACAACAATATTACCATGATAACCAAAACATTATGATGGACCTTGATGAATAAAACACAACCATATTACCATGATTACCTAAACATTATGATGGACCTTGATGAATAAAACACAACTATATTACCTAAACATAATTATGAACCTTGATGAATAAAACACAACCATATTACCATGATTACCAAAACATTATGATGGACTTTGATGAATAAAACACAACCATATAACCAAAACATTATGATGAACCTTGATGAATAAAACACAACCATATTACCATGATTACCAAAACATTATGATGGACCTTGATGAATAAAACAAAACCATATTACAAAAACATCATGTTGAACCTTGATGAATAAAACACAACCATATTACCATGAGTACCCAAACATTATGAAGGACTTTGATGAATAAAACACAACACTATTACAAAACATCATGATGAACCTTGATGAATAAAACACAACCATATTACCATGATTACCAAAACATTATGATGGACCTTGATGAATAAAACACAATCATATTACCACAACATTATGATGAACCTTGATGAATAAACCACAACTATATCACCAAAACATCATGATGAACCTTGATGAACAAAACACAACCATATTATCAAAACATGATGAGGGACCTTGGTGAATAATACACAACCATATTATTATGATTACCAAAACATAATGATGGACCTTTATGAATAAACACAACCAGATTACCATGATTACCAAAACATTATGATGGACCTTGATGAATAAAACACAATCATATTACCAAAACATTATGATGAACCTTGATGAATAAAACACAACTATATCACCAAAACATCATGATGAATCTTGATGAACAAAACACAACAATATTACCATGATTACCAAAACAATATGATGGACCTTCATGAATAAAACACAACCATATTACCAAAACATTATGATGAACCCTGATAAATAAAACACAACCATATTACCAAAAACATTATGATGGACCTTAATGAATAAAACACAACCATATTACCAAAACATTATGATGGACCTTGATGAATAAAACACAACCATATTACCAAAACATCATGATGAACCCTGATGAATAAAACACAACCATATTACCAAAGCATTATGATGGATCTGGATGAATAAAACACAACCATATTACCAAAACATTATGATGGACCTTGATGAATAAAACACAACCATATTACCATGATTACCAAAACATTATGATGAACCTTGATAAATAAAACAACCATATTTATGATTACCAAAACATTATGATGAACCTTGATGAATTAAAAACAACCTTATTACCAAAACATTATGATGGACCTTGATGAATAAAACAGAACCATATTACCAAAATATAATGATGTACCTTGATGAATAAAACACAACCATATTACCAAGATTACCAAAACATTATGATGGACCTTGATGAATTAAACACAATCATATTACCATGATTACCTAATCATTATGATGGACCTTGATGAATAAAACACAACCATATTACCATGATTACCAAAACATTATTATGGACCTTGATGAATAAAACACAACTATATTACCAAAACATTATGATGGACCTTGATGAATAAAACGCAACTATATTACCATGATTACCAAAACATTATTATGGACCTTGATGAATAAAACACAACTATATTACCAAAACATTATGATGGACCTTGATGAATAAAACACAACCATATAACCAAAAGATTATGATGAACCTTGATGAATAAAACAACCATATTACCAAAACATCATGATGAACCTTGGTGAATGAAACAGTCTATTTTTGGGCAATGGGAAAAAAATGATGCCTTTGGAACCTAGCTGTATTTTAATAGCACAAAACAAAGAACAAACAAAATTATTGAGGATTCAGGAACAGTTGTCTGTAATTCAAAGAATGGATAAATGTGGTAACTATGACAATGTAAATAATGGTACTAAACATTCCAGTTCTTTCCTGTTACCAAAGTGAATAAATTTTAAAAGTGTCTAATGTGAATGAGGAATAAAGTAGAGATACTATTTGTGGTTTACTAGTACATCCTGCAATATTTTATCAAATGCCATTTGATATTTATAGCAATACAATACATAAGGTTAAGAAATATAGTAAATTATAGTCCAATGTGTAGGTAACATGAAAGAATCTTCAGTAACAGGAAAGATTTTTTTTTCACAATTCCTTTCTTTTGATAGCCATAGAGCTATAGTTTAAGAAAAATACATCATTAGGAAGCTACCATTTGATTTCTATGGGGTGGGGGTCAATGGGGGCTAGGATGAAATTTGAAAAAAAATAGACAGGACAGGAGTTTTGATTTAAAAAAAGGCAGGATGAGACACTTTGAAAAAAAAAAGAAGGCTGGATGACAATTTATGTTAAAAAAAGTCAGGATAAACTAAAAAAAAAAAGAAGGCTGGATGACAATTTTTGTTAAAAAAAGTCAGGATAAACTAAAAAAAAAAAAGAAGGCAGGATTGAATAGAGGAAAAAAAAAGGCAGGACAGAGATTACAATTAAAAAAAATGCAGGACAGATATTACAACTAAAAAAAATTGCAGGACAAAATTTTTCATCCTAGCCTCCCCCCATAAAAATCATATGGCAGCTCCCTTACAAATTGGTCAAAATTAGACGAAAACAGCAAACAAAGTAAATTTTCTTTTGAAAGTTTCATTTGCTAGATGAAAAATCTGTCTGAAATAAAAAAAAAATAAAAACTTAATTCCTTTCTGTTACCATCTTCTATACTAGAATTGCACAATGATCTCTGCTGTTATCAAAAGTCAAAACACTGTCTTGTCATTCAATAGACAGTATATTATGATAAGGATAATGAAATATGCTGATATTTAAACTTATATTACATAAACTGCTTGGAATATATAAGGTTAACTTTGTTTTTATCAGTAAAAGTGTCTTCATAATCCTTCCTGTTACTGAGTATGGCTATACTGTTACTTTTTATCAGGTAACATGACAGAACGGAACAGAAAGGAATTATGCAGTACTTTTTGTCCTTTTATTTGAATTAGACATGTTTGATGGAAGTCTACTCCATCTACATATTAATTTAATAAGATGATATAAAAACACACTTAATGTTAAAGTGCTGACATTCAAATACTCTCAGAACATGCAGAAGGTACACAAAAAGACTGTAACTTGACAGAACAACAAAAGTATTCTATTGTAAACATGTATTAATTCTCATCTTGGATGAGTTCGGATTTTTCAAACTGGTCGCCATTCAAACTAATATACATGTGCATGATGTGTAGTCATACATTCAGGAAATGATGCTCTTCTCATTGCATTATAAGAAATCAAATATTGGTCTTTCAATCGTTTAATCCCACAGGCGAAATAAACAGCTGTGCCTTGAGCGCATGATACTCCTGTCATGTTTTCTAAGAATAAAGTTAAATAACTTCTCAATGTCATATCAGAAATTTATGAAAAACTAAAGGGAGGTTATCTTAAAAGATATAAACCAGACACCAAAGTTTAATGAAAACTGCCCAAAGCACTGTAAAGGTATAATGTCCGACAACTGGAAAATCACCCTTTTATTAATGAATAAAACCCCATAACTCTGAAATTTAACATCTAAAATTTATAAAAATCAAAAGGGAGCTTACATCAATAGATATAAACAATTCACCAAAGTTTCATGAGAACTGCTGAAAGCATTTTTGAGTTATTGTGCGAAAACTTGAAAACCCCCCTTTTTTTAATGAATAAAACCCCATTTCTCGGAAACGTAAAATCTAAAATTTAAGAAAAATGAAAGGGAGCTCACGTCAATATATACAATTCACCAAAGTTTTATGCAAATTGGGTAAAGTGTTTTCGAGTTAATGTCCGTCATGTTGACGATGGACAGACAGACGGACAACGGTATATCATAATACGTCCCGTAAAAGGGCCGTTAAAAACCAAGTGGTAACAGGAGGGAAATTACCCTGTGGGACAAAATTTTAAAAAAAAAATGCAAAATTTTATTACAAGCTATAGTTATAATAATAACTGTTTCGCTGAGCGCAGCTGGATACGCCTGCAGAGGTCCAACCCTGAACAGTTGGGGCAAAAATGGACACAATATTCAAGCTTGATACAGGTCTGAATTTGGATTGTATTAAATATTCATGATATTTGACATATTATAGGTTTCTGAATAAATGTAGTCAAAGAACTTGAAATTGGTTATATGAATTGAAGTTATATTCAATTAAAGATTTCTTGCTGTTGTGCAATACACTGTAACTGTTGTGCAATACTTAGTAAATCTGTTGTCAGACTATAAACAAATAAAGTTCACTTAATTCTCAGTCATATTAGAAATTTATGAAAATGTAAAGGGAGCTTACATTTATTTAGAAACAATGAAAAAAATATATTTATAGCGATACACTTACCAAAACTCGTTTACAAATTATTAAACACAAAATCAATAAAAATTGGGCGCGAACGTGTAGGGTGCGAAAGTGAAAGGGGGGAACGTGCATGGGGGTGAACCTGATTGGGCGCGAATGGACCCGGATTCGTTTTTACTGACCCCTCATCTTGGATTGTCGTAATGCAATTTCTCCTCTCATAATAATCACATAAGGGAGCTACCATTTGATTTTTAGGGGGGGGGGGGGGGGGGGGGGGGGGCTAGGACAGTAGGATGGATGAAATTTGAAAAAAATAGGCAGGACAGGAGTTTTGAGTTAAAAAAAGGCAGGATGACAATTTATGTAAAAAAAAGTCAGGATAAACTAAAAAAACTGAAAAGAGTGAAAAATAAAAAGGCAGGACATAATACTAATAGAGGGGAAAATAAATAGGCAGGACAAAATATTTCATCCTAGCCCCCCCCCCCCCCCCCCCCCCCCCACCAAAAAAAATCAAATGGTAGCTCCCTAATTATATATTTATATATATATAAAATTATTATACTTATAAAAATAGAACTTATTTAGGTGTTGACAAATAACAATTAAACACAAAATCCGTATAGATGCGAGAGATAGTTTTTCTCCGGATGTCCTGAGACTACTAGTGCTATTAACAGATTTACTATCTTTAAATATAAATATCAACTCACACACACAGATGACAGTATTTTCTTGTTTGTCCCGTCTTCCCCGTCTTCATAAAACCAAAACAAAGGGCGACAATCGATAACAATTTCTGGGTCTCACTAATTAGAGACAAGAAACGACAAGAAACGCCGAGAAGCGACAAAAAAAAAATTAGCCACAAGAAAATAATTTAGCGACAAGAAGTACAATTTAGTGACAAGAATACATTTTAGCGTAAAAAATGTAATTATTAATCAATTGATATAGAAACATACATAAATTGTCTTTTTTTGATAAAGGAGAAACGAGAGAAAAAAGTTAAATCACAAAAATACTGAACTTCAAGGACTTTGACAATTCAAAACGGAAAGTCCCTAATAAAATGGCAAAATCAAAAGCACAAACACATCAAACGAATGGACAACAACTGTCATATTCCTGACTTGGTACAGACATTTTCTTATGTAGAAAATGGTGGATTGAACCTTGTTTATAGCGCTAAACCTCTCACTTGTATGGCAGTCGCATCAAATTCCATTATATTGACAATGATGCATGAATAAAACAAACAGACATAAAAGGTAAAATGTCAAAATAGGGGTACAGCAGTCAACAACGTGTCACAATCTTAATCATAACAAAACAAACAAATATTTAACAAAAAAAAAAAAAAAAAAAAAGCATATATCACATTTAGCAACCTCGTTCATTTATCGCTTACTTATTTTTGTATTTTACATTTGTATTTATGTATGCCAAATCAACCCATAAAGGATCGAGGGATTTTAAGCACTGGGACCGAATCGTAATTCTTACATTAATAATAAGATTGATCTTTGTTTTTTTTTTTCGTTATTACGCTATATATGTTATTGGATGAAATATGAAAAAAAAAGGCGTGTTTGTTTATTCTGCATTAGCTAGATGTAAAGGGGAGGGTTGAGATCTCACAAAACATGTTTAACCCCGCCACATTATTGTTTTGCGCCTGTACCAAACAAGGAACATCTGACCTTTGTTATGCTTTTTTTTTAAATTTGGTCCATATAAATGTTTCGGAGTCTAGTGTGACGTATACACTAAAGTGTGTAGTATACATTTTGTTTAGGGGCCAGCTATAGCCCACCGCCGGGTACAGGAATCATAGGCGGATCCGGGGGGGGGGGGGGGGGGGGGGGGGGGGGAGGGCAGCGCCCCCTTTTGTGTGAACAATTTGGTTGATTATATAGAGAATCACTGAAGCATGACTGGAGCGGGCCCTCCCTTAGGTCAGCCAGTGCCCCCCCCCCCCCTTTATGAAAAGTTCTGGGAATTTCTCTGTGTGTTGAAGATCCATTGGTTGCCTTATATATGCTGTTTTCTGCTCTTTCAAATATAGACTTAAACTGGAAGACTACTTGCACAATCTAAATAAAAAAATAATAGTGGTAAACTTTTAACCAAGTTTCGTTTGATGTGGCCACAACCTGGAAATATGACGTAATAGGTCGCTACTAAAACGTTATAAGTAAACATAGAGAAAAGTCGGAATTCCTTGATTATAAACGTGATTTAATCCAGTTATCCTGATTTCAACCAGTTTGACATATATATCATGTACTGTGTTACAAAGGTAACACTAGGACACCGAATTTTTAGTTCAGTCTTGGTAGTCGAGTGGTTTAGAGCGCTGGACACAGTGCAGGAGGTGTTGTTTCGATATTTCAGTAGAATGAGTTCGAATCCGGCGTGGGAAGAACAAAAATTTGCCTCCGCAGATTTAACATTGTTGTGCTGATATTTAGAGTAATCATTTAAGGAATGACTGTAATATTTTTTCTGTAAATGAAGAAATAACATCAAACATGTGGTGCACACTGAATAACCAGCGTAGCGGGTTATTTTAAAGTGTGCACCACATTTTTTATGTTATTTCGAATAGACAGAAAAAATTTTACAGTCATTTCTTATAATTTAATTCTTAATTCCATTTTAAACCGGAGTAACATGAAAAAACGTTGATAACGTCAAGGTCACATGACAAAATTATGTCTATGAACTGATAAACAAAACAACGTCAGCCAATCGGAAGACGCGTTTTTACATCCAAAATTAAATTATATAAATATATATAATCCGTCTCAAATTTAGTGCTACATTTGTATATATATATATACAAGTCTAAATTGAAAACAACGCTCAAACCTATGATTGCGTTGGATAAAAACCGCAATTTTTATACGTGTGCATGCAAAACAAATTTCTTAAAAGAGGGGTCTAAATACAGCACAAACAACATTTTCCAAAAGACCAAAAAAGTGAAAAAGTATATTTTAACAAAAACAATTTGACTAACAGGTCGAACAACTGATGTTCTTAAAACCCTGCTGACTGCCATTGGCGATTGCCAAATAAACGGATCACAAGATGTAACAAAATGGATCTACTGATTAATTTATTACCAAACAGAAAACAATAAACTTGCGGAAGAGATGGTATACCGCAAACACGAGGTGCAAAATTTTGTACACCATATCCGGATTTCGACAATTAATGTCTCTTCAGTTATATTATTTAGGAATCGACAGTATTTGGAAGGCCATATAATTTACCTCAATTTAGGATAGACTTTTGAATTTTGAAAGAGTCGAAATAGGATGAACGGATCATATAAACCCAAAGGCAAATATAATACAAGCCCAAACGAAAAATATAAACAAGTCTTTTCTTCTCTCTAAACTACACTTCCACACAATCTTATCAAGAACAAGTTTTCATATTTAATAAAATGGTCTTTTGAAAAATCTCAACTCGTTCGTTATGCCCGTGTGTGTAGTGATGTCATAGATTTTAACGAACGTAATCAATGCATCACTGGTAATTATTAAGTCAGGGATTTCGTTACCATAAATTACGTAAAACTTTTACTAAATTCTTTCATAGATACAATTTAAATTTGGCTGTACCTGTAGAAAACTGATTTATAACGGTATTTCACATCCTAAATTTTACGGATATATTGTACTTAAAGCGCGGAAATCACTATGTGATCCGTGTAAACTCATCGAACCTTTAAACAAACTTATTAGTAAAGGTTATCTTACCAATGTTGTAATTAGATCTTTGAATATAGTTTACATTGGCACTAATTATAAAAAAGAAGATGTGGTATGATTGCCAATGAGACAAGAGACCAAATGACATAGAAATTAACAAATATAGGTCAACGTACGGCCTTCAACAATGAGCAAAGCTCATACCGCACAGTCAGCTATAAAAGGCCCCGAAATGACAATGTACATGACCAATCATGTAAAACAATTCAAACGAGAAAACTAACGGCCTAATTTATGTACAAAAAAATGAACGAAAAACAAATATGTAACACATTTATAAACAAACGACAACCATTGAACTAAAGGCTCCTGACTTGGGACAGGCACATACATACAGAATGTGGCGGGGTTAAACATGTTAGCGGGATCCCAACTCTCCCCTAACCTGGGACAGTGGTGTAGCAGTACAACATAAGAACGAACTATAAAAATCAGTTGAAAGAGGCTTAACTCATCAGATGGATAAAAATACAAATACTACAATTACAAGTGGGCGTGACCGGGTACTTGTACATCCAAACAACAAAAAGACACTCAGTACAGATCTGAGAGTACTCGCAGTTACTGACAGCTAGTTCAAAGCCACTAACAACTAATATAAAAAAAAATGCATCTAAGACTAAATAGTCTTGTAAGATTTTTGATTTTAGTTCACTTATATGTTTTGGAGTTTAGTTTGACTTCCATTTTCACTGAACAAGTACACAATTTTATTTAGGGGCCAGCTGAGGACCACCTCCGGGTGTGGGATTTTCTCGCTGCGTTGAAGCCCCAACTGTTGGTTGACATGTGACCTTGAAAAATATCAACCGAAAGTTATCTTGAGTAAACCAAAAGTAGCTTTTTCTTTGCAATTATTTCATGGAAAAGTCCCTAGAAACTATATATTTTTTAAATATGCAACATAAACCTATTATTTGAGACCGGGAGTGAATTTCACTAAACCGGAAGTACCTAATATCTCCCTTATTACAGGCAAAAGTATATAGAAACCATATATATTAGGAATCAGCGTAAATAAAGCTATCATGTGAGACCGGAAGTGACATTGTTTAAACCGGAAGTTGACGATTATCTCCCTTATTTCAGGCAAAAATAAATAGAAACATTTATTTATTGAATCAGTATGCAGAAACCTATACTTGGACGCCAATATTAACTTAGAGCATGGAAGTAATATTTAAAAGGAATAACAACGACTAATTAGCATGTATTAATGGCATGCAGAGCTCTGTACTAAAGTCATATGATTTTATCCAATTATAGTCTCAGCGGCAAGACCCCTTTGGTTACTATCTGTGATACCGCGGTTGTTAAATGGCATCTGTAATTTCTTATCAATCACGTACACGTGATTTTATCGAGTACGGTAATTATAAAGCACCTGTGTGAAATCCTAGTTTATTAATTAACAAGGTGGCGCTGTATCAAATAAAACTTCTACCTTCAAAATGAAATCGAATGATGTAAAAAACTTGAAAAACGGACGATAATTGTTTACACTACAGCAGTTAAACATGGAAAATTGTATTTATTTTTGCATATTTTTTTTCCCGTTCGTTTTAAACTGATTTTAAAAGTATTTTCCGATTGAAAGCGGATCCCGAGTAAAACAGGTAATACCGACGAAGCGATCAGGTTTCACATGATGTTTAACAAAACAATGACGACAAATGAAGACATAGATTTTTTTACTGTTGAAATGTGCAAAGTTTATCGAGATTTAAAAAAGGATATTTACCAGGGGCGGGTCCAGGTGAGGGCGTAATGGGCGTACCCCCCCCCCCCCCCCTTTTAACAAAAAAAAATAAAATATACATGCTCCAAGTCAGGAACCGTTACATTAGTGCATTTCACAATTATATTATGTTTTATAGCAAAAAAAAAGGTCCAAATTTTTTTTCGCCTCGCTCCCGCTCGGCCAAAGATTTGGTTCTACGCCCCTATTTCAAATATCCTAGAAACGCCTATATTTACTTTCAATTATTTTAAATTTATGTATATGTAATAAATATCATTGATTACATTATTGAAACTGGACAAATAAAATCGGGATAATAAGTTCGTAAATATCTATATTAAAAAAGTGTTTAAATACAGTTAATATAACACGCTACAGCAAAAATAAAAACAAACAGACAGCGTTTGTCGTCTTTAGCCGAACAGTTTTATCATATTCACATAATTCAATTTATTGTGTGCTGGTTCATATTCTGGACGCCAGTCTTTGCTCCTTTCTAATAAAATCCACATACATTGAAGACCTATTGGTGGCCTTCAGCTGTTGTCTGCTCTATGGTCGGGTTGTTGTCTCTTTGACACATTCCCCATTTCCATTCTCAATTTTAAAATAAGCTTGATTCTATCTGCCTAACCGCATATTCATTTATACGAATTAGTTTAAAGAATAGAAACGTTTGTGAATATTTTAATTGGCTGGTATACACGCATGGCTTGGATTATTCATATTTAATAAAAGGGGGTCCAAACATATTTTTTGTACAATCATGCATATTCTTAAATTTTTAAGAAATGGCATCTTAACTGTCTGTAGATATTAAAATTGAAAACGATCCACCCATGTTCTCCAGTTTTAAGATCGAGATAAACAGAAATAGGAAAATTAAACTAAAATCAACATTGAACGAATTACTCTATTCGGCAGCGTACATCAGCGGAATATAACTAGTGGACTATTCGGGTTACTTCGCACTATATACGACAACAACTTGTCTGTTCGTAATTTTCCGTGAAAACGAAAACGACCGAAAAGTATCAGTGGTTTGATCGATCACATGCGGAGAATCAACTACTATTCCATATCGTAAACTGATTAACGAGTAATCGAAAGATAGGCGGTAACGCAGATGAAACTTATGAACTGACGTTGATGTTATTCCTTTCAATATTACTTCCATGCTGTGAGTAAACCGAAAGTAGCTACTCATCAGTAATTCAGAAAATTGAAGTGGAAAGACCTTTAATTGTTCTCTGAACAATTAATTTTTAATATATATATATATATATTATGATTCGTCTAAAATTTAGTCCATATATATAAAAAAAGTGTACAAAAACAAATTTCAATGAATATTCAAAAAAGGAAACATTAAATATAATTATTTATAAATATTTCGGATCCTTCATCGGTATGATTATGATGCAAAATAGATCATATCAATCTATTTTGATTTAACTATAACCATCTTGAAATTTATACAATTAAAACCAAACATAGCAACGTACGCCTGTTTAATTCAAAAATTTCAAAAATGACGTAGGTTAGGTATTTACAAAAGAGACTGCATAGATCGATATGCTACTAATAAAATAGTAATGTGCGATATGAACAGGTATATTTCTAAAATAGCAGCAGTTTGGTAATGATTAATAAAAAAATAATGTTGAATCAGGTTAAGTAATTGAACGTGGCAGCGTACTTAAACATCCCAAATAAATAGCGCCCTTCGATTTAAACTGGTATTATTCTAGAATTTTAGAGTTGACAAATGTAAAGGAACAGAAACTGCGTAGTAATATGAAATATAACCCAAAATGAAAAGCACTGCACGAATGAGAACTAAACATTCCATTGATCCCGTTTGTTGCCAAAGTTTTTAATTTTCTCATCCAAAATCTTTCCCAAGCGAGTCTATCCTCCCTAGATTCAGCAGTGTTGTGGTCTATGATTGTAATGGTCAGTCGAATAAGATCTGCCTTTTTGTGGCCAGAGGACCTGTAAGTATATAGAAAGGACCAACCAGCAAATTTATTATGCACCGGATTGTTTAGAATAGACGATATTGCGCCGATATTATCGAAAATATGTATAAGTTTAAAGATTTGCACAACGGTACTAATATAAAATGGTAATATACGAAGGTGACGTTATGAAATCGTAATGACAAATATTTCGGCTTAGAAAATAGCCTTCGGCAGTGTCATAGCATAATGACACCTGTAACGCATGTATTTATCAGACAAAGTTGTCCCCCTTGGTAATTTACAAGTAGCATAGAAACATTTCGTATATATGCAATTGACAGTACATTAATTGAAAAAAACAATTGATCGAAAACTGCCAATTAATTAAATACATGAATAATACGAATGATTGTCAAAGATAAAAGTATTTTTTTGTTTTTATTTGAAGATAGTGGCAATGTGTGATCCTTTTTAGGAATTTAAACACATTATTTATAAATCTACCGCTTTTGTATGTATGATTCGTTAACTCTATGTAACGTTAGGACTGCACCCATCTGTCATATTTTGAAAGTTGTATTTAACAGCTTTATTCGTCGGGTCTGTGATAACTGTGTAATGTAAGGATAAGGTAACGTGATATGAGTACGTTTGAGACAACTATCTACCACTGGACACTGTAAGGCCCTTAATAATAAACAAAACAATTCTGTATAGTAATGACCATTATTATTTTATTGAGAAGCATGATAAATGCATGGTATTCAATTTTATTTAACGACATTTTGGTGGGAGATTTGAAACGATTTAAAGAGAAAACCAACGGCCTGATTAAAACTAGAACAGCAAACAGAAATAAAAAACAAATGAGTCAGACATGAACCAGCGACAACTGCATTACATGCTCCTGACGTAAGACACATTGAAGTATTGAAGCCTCTGTGACATTTCAGCATGTTAAGATAATTTAAATGATTGTTTATGCCGAAAGTACTGACTCGGGCTTTCATCTTATGGTCTTACTACAAAAGAAATTAATTGGTCTTTCTTTGAGAGGGTTTGGTTGGAGGCGGGTCGTCATTTATATATTATTTTTTCTCTTTTTTTTCTCTTTTTTGTTTTTGTTTATTTTACTGAGTCGTTTATTTGCTATTTTAAAAACTATTCTCTATTCTGAAAATTCTATCATGACCCCCATGTTGAAGTTTTCTGCTCTTTTTCTTTGACATTTCAGGCTGATCTTACTACATTGTAAGATTATATATCTCTCTTCTTCATTCACTTTGTTTTTATTTGTACTCATCGCACAGTATTATTCATAACAGGACCGATACGTCCACGTCCCTCTTTTCAAAAATAATTTGAGCATAAAATCGCCAAACACAATTTTGCCTTGCTACGCTCGGCGACATTTTTACCACTTCTACTATTACGTACGTCCCCTTTCCTTTTACCAATATCTTAAATTGAAACATTGATTTTATCAAAGAATGCTTAGAGCAGTGGCGGATCCAGGGGGGTTCTGGGGGTTGGCACCCCCTTTTTTTTGACGATCAATGCATTTGAATGGGGACATATAGTTGGAACCCCCCTTTTTATCCTGGGTTAGTACACCCCCTTCCCCCCCTTTATAAATGGCTGGATCCGCCCCTGTAGAGATCCACAAATAATATGTTAGAACAGGAATCGTGCTGACACTGAAATACTTTGATCATTCATTTTACATTAACAATTTAATTTTAAATTTCAAACTTAAACCTGACAGGTTGTATCTACTGGCTACTGATAAGAACGATAACTCTGAAGTATGTCCATCATAATCTCTTTGGGGATTCATCTTATCGTGTTACAAGAACGATAACTCTGAAGTATGTCCATCATGATCTCTTTGTTTCATCTTATCGTGTTACAAGTATGTTGACCTGCTCGAACTTAAACAGGTGAAATGTTACAATTAATCTTGATAAACATCCGGGACTTTTGATATCCATTTAACATTTTTCAATTCTTATTGGAATGTACAAAATTGATGGAAAATTTCATTATTCATTAATCATGTTAGTTTGAAATAAACGTGATTTTGTTCAATATGAGACACAATGCAACAGATATTTCTCCTACTGATGAAATCAACTTTCCTTCTATTCTTTTTTCCTAAAACAGGTAAGACTTTTTTCTCCGTTAATTTTTCAATTGTCTTAGTAATACTTCTATTCAATATTGTTTGTCAATGTACCGATTAAAGAGAGATTCGAAAAAGCTGTTTTATTTATACCTTTTTTATCCCCCCCCCCCCCCCCCCCTCCCCCTCAAAAAAGAAAAATCTTGTCCGGCATCAAAGGCTCATATCATCATTACATTTTTCATAGAAATATGACAGTGTGTTTGGAAATAAAAGTTTAAGAATAAAAAAATACATAATTTTATACAAACTATCATAATTAATTAATATTTTATGCTATAGAGTTTTGGATTGTTTATTTAAATGATTTCTTGTTTAATTAATTATATTGTATATTAAGCAGAGAAATAAATAAGGTTAAAATGAAAAAGAAAAAAGAGCAGAAACTGAGAAAAAAATCAGTCAATAAAAACTGCACAGAAAACAGAAGATATAACAATATAAAATAAAATAAGGGTCCAGATTAAATATGAAAATTGCTGAACAATGACGCGTGACATTTAAATTTGTGAACTCGGACCTAATCTTATTATTACATTTAGAGAAACATCATACAACAAAGGAAGTGTAGGGTATGTGTCAAAAAGATATCAACCCAACAACACAAAAAACAGAATGCGAACGTAATCAGATGACCTTTATCCTGGTATCCTAACCTGATATCTGCCTGCGTTAAGTATTATTCGTTTGGCGGGGTAAATTTTATATCAATGTATTTTTTTATTTAGTTCCAGCATCTTTGCCACCGTCTCCACCCGGGAATATCCGAATTGAGTCAACCGGAAGAGAATTTTTAGTAAGATGGCAGCCACCGGGGTTGATGAATGGAGAGATTTTAAGTTACTTGATAAATTACAATATTTTACCGAGTTTCAAGGTGTACACCATCGTTGTGAAAGGAAACCAATCATTTGCATTGATACGTACGTATGCTGCTCAACATTACAAAAAAAAAAACCAACCCAAAAAAAACATAGTTTTAAATGATAGGAAAAATTAACTCTATAAAAATAAATAAATAAATATTAAGGATAATTACTTTGACTGCTATCTTCATATTACCGACTTTTGACTCCGGATTATATAATTTGTCGACTGTTTACCTTGGACATCATGGTACTCGGTCAAGTAAGAGCAACCAAAATAAGTAAAATCAAACATATAATCGGTGTAATTTGAGGGGAAAGTTTACTGTTTTCCGATGATTTTGTAGTGAAAAAAAAAATATTAACCAGGTAATTTTCCCCCAAAATTGTACCGATTGAAAGCTTGGTTTTACTTCTTTAGCTTGCTCTTACCGGACTTGGTACCATGGTGTCCAAGGTAACCAGTCGACAAATTATATAGTCTGGAGTCAAAAGTCGGTAATATGAAAATGATTTATAACAAATTTACTTTTCAACATAATAACTTTTCATAAATAGTTTGTCACTTAACCCAGTTAAAATAACTTTTAAACTGATTTGATAATATGGCGGAAAAGGTATCGTTTTTATTCAGACGAATACAAAAGTGGCATTTATATATAAAGTCAAGTCTTAATTTCTCAGAACAGAGTTCACATGGTAGAGAATAATATATAAGTCTGAGCTAATACTCATTTATAACTTTTCCGTCATCATGTTTGTGAGCGCTTAACCCTTACCTTACCTTGGACATTGGTGTAACAGCACAATATAAAAACGAACTGTAAAAATAATTTGTTAATGGAACAGAGAAAGCAAACTTCTTTATTTACTTATATGTTGGGTTTCTTTTTTAGCGTTTGGAGATCATATTGGACAATTATTTCTCATCTCACTCCAAGCAGAAAATGACTATGGACTTAGTAAGCAATCAATTCCAAGATATATACGAGCAGGTAAGTCCCGTATGTTAATCAATGATTTTAAGGTCTTTTATGTAAAAACTACAGCCACGATATAACCAATAGTGCTGACAGTGACGTTAAACACCAACAATCAATCAATCATCAATCAGTAGGGAAAGTTGATGCTGACAATCTCTATTAAAGGACAATGTACACTTTCGGCCAAATATAACCTTTGATTTTGTTCAAACGTAAAAAATCAAAAAGGCCATACTTTAGTTCTTAAATTGATCTATTTCTAAAGCCTGGATGTAAGGTAAAACAAATTTCCGTTTCAGAGTACATTGTAGGCGCCAAAGTCAGCACAGTTCTATACGATGAGTGTATGTATTTTTTGGACCTACAAGCTTTCAGAAAAACTATGCCGCAACCTACGATCCAAGAAACAAAATGAGGTTATAACAAAAAAAAACATAATGAAAGGGGTCATAGTTTCGTTATCAGGGGGGTGGGGGTCCAGGATTTTAGGTTAGGGGGTGCAAACGTAAATTTTGCCGATCGGAGCGAGGCGAAAAAATTTGAGGTAAATTATCGAAATATTCTTTTAGAGTGGGTGCAATGTAGATATCTAGCCAAGCGAAGCGTGGTGAGAAATATTTTGTGGTAAAATTAGCGAGAAATTAAAGTTTCAAGCTAAAACCGACTAAATCCACCCCTGACAATCTACAATCACCATAATTAACAAGAAATCTGTGAACTTCGATTTTCAAAGAAATTGTTTATAAAAACCGCAACTACAATGTAACAATTGATACCAAAGAAAACAAAATGACAAGGCCATGGCATAAAACGTAAACCTACGAAAAGACAGAACTCAACACAAGTAACCAAAAACTGATTAACTCGAACTCTAACCAAACTAAAACTGATGGGATGGGGTTGGTGGTATGTGTGTTGGGGGTATTATGTAAATCCTAGTTTCAGGGGAACTTTATTTTATTTTTTGCATTCAACATTTGTGACATAAGCATATACACTTTAGATCAACAGCGTTAGACTCATACTTTATGTCTTCAGCAATGGACTGCATCTCCAGCGCTGAACTTTATTCCACAGGGCTAGACTTTATATCTACAGTACTGGGCTTTACATCTCCAGCGCTGAACTTTATTCCACAGGGCTAGACTTTACATCTACAGTGCTGGGCTTTACATCTCCAGGGCTGGACTCTGCATCACCAGCGGTAGACTTTACATCTCTAGCGCTTGATCTCATATCTACAGTAGACGACTTTATATCTACATAAATGGTTTTTACATCCTAAGCGCTGTACTTATACATCTTCATCGCAGAACTTTAGATCTTCACCGCTAGACTTTACATATCTAGTGCTAGACTTTAAAAACCACGACTTTTATCTTAATATAGATTGCAATGCTCTCCATTACAACCTGTTTTTTTGGCTTATTTGTTAAAGAGTTATTTTCTGGGGCTTCATTACGCATGAAAACATGTTAAGGATGTTCGCTCCTCCTGTTTTTGAATTTTTGCCAGATATTCGGAATCCTTCGGTTTTATCCATGTAGTGACATCCAAAAATTTTGCCCGCTAACCCCTACTTTTCTTTTCATAATTGTATTAAATATAGTTTCATAAGCCATATTTGAAAATCTTATAAAATTCTTGTTATTTTTTTCATAGTTTTTGAAAGAAAAAAGGTGCCAATATTAAATGTATAAAAAATCTAGAGAGAATCATTTCACGCCAAATTTTCAATGGCTTATATCTCGAAAACAAGCACACGGACACTTCATTTTTTTCTGCTTATTTAGTTCCTTATATACTATCAATTTATAACAATCTTTTAAAAATCTTGTTATCTTGAAACAGAGTAGCGAACATCCTTAAACAGTTACGGGCACAAGTAACCTGGAAAACGAGTGATTGAGGGTAAACCTACTTTTTGTGATCTTTAATCGCATATCAAATGGTCCGAGTACACAGTTATTTCGTAGTGCATTTCTTTTAGACAATAAAGAAAATTAAAAAAATCCCACCTGCGCTTTCTCAATAATATTTTTACAGTGTGTTGTACTACTTTTGGGACAAATTATATCAAAATTATAGAAAACTTCATCGGCTCTAACTCAAAATATGGACAATTTCATGTTAAGGGGGTCTTCAAATCTTTTGACAGCTTCCGAAGTGCTAATTTTTAACATTTTTCAGCTGGACCAAATCACTACTTTACTTTAAAATTCATGACCCAAAATTTTTTACAGTGTCATTTCACCCCCCTACTTACTATTTGAGTCATAAAACATGGAGAAATAAATTTGGAAGGGGTATAAAAAAAATCGACAAGTAACACACTGTCCACACTAGGGACTATATTCGTAATCAAAGGACGATAACTGTGTACCCGGACCAAATTGCAGGCTGTTTTTACACTATTGTTGTTATACTTACAAACTGTTTTTAAGGTTGTGGAAACCAGCTGTATATCGGCGTAAACGGAACACAGGGAGTGGAATCACCTTTGTACCCACATGAATTCCATCAAGGAGTTTTATGTGTCTGGAACATTTTCACTAACAAGACACATACGATAAGTATTCATATAACAGATATTGATTTTGGAACTAATAATTTTGGGTGCGCAAAACATTTTCTGCTTATCGAATCCGACAAAATTAAAAAGAAAATCTGCACGAATACATCTGACGTAAGACTGGACTATAGTGACGTCAGGATAGTGTTCCAAAGCAAAATAGGAACCATCGGAAAAGGATTTAGTCTGTTAATTAAAACTGTTGGTAAGATATTCTATGGCATAGTTGGTATACATTGATTTTGATATAATAAAAAAACCGAAAATATTGAATTTGAATTGTTAAAACTAGCTAACAGTATTTTTTTAAATGTTCGTTTTATCTTTGAAATATCGTCATAAAATAAATACAAGATTTTAAAATAATCTTAGGCCCATTTCAACAAGTTTAAAACTCTGAGAAAAATAGAAGGAACTTGCGGTCATTTTTATTTGTTTTATTACATTACATATGGACTCTGCACTTAGACTATTGAAACTTCAAAGCTTTGCTTCTGTATCATTTGACTATATTTTCGTGCTGTTCCGTAGTCAAATTCGTATTCAACTAAGTGATTGAAAATGAATAAAAAAGGAATACGCCAATGAGACAACTACTTCACAACAAAAACCCAATAGATAAATAGAGATTAACATACGGTCTTTAACAACATGAACAATACGCAGGTTCCTATATAATGTGTCAAGCTCTGAACCTGACAGAATCCCAAAAATTAGAATAAATTTAAAACGACAGTCACAGAGCGGCCATAAAACCGGAACAACTTCATATTTTTTTTACTATTGTACTATTGAATGCTAGACTATAGTGAGTGTTGAGGCATTTTCATTTTGTATTTATTAAATTCTAACCATTTAGATCATGTTTTATTAAGTTTTTGATACCCAATATTATTGACTAAAGAATAATCGAATATTTTTTTTTCATTCATCGAAAAGCGCAATTGGATCATCAAAATGTACTATAATATTATTTCACGTATTAAGAAAAATAAAAAAAAGTTGATTGTGGTTTGTTAAGCTTTCAGTGACACATATTTCATATATATTCAGGACAATGGAAATTCCAAAATTGACTTCTAATCTTAAGTCGAAAAAGTGAAGGATACTTAGAATATATGTAAAAACAATTAGATGACATGTATGAATAGCACTGAAAATTATAATCGTCACTTAAACTGCAAGATTGTCTGAAACCAAATGTTTGGAAAATCAGAAACATACTATTTATTCCTTTTCAGTTAAGAATTCAAAACCACCAGCTAACATAACATTAAGTCATCTTGGAAATGTTATACTAGTCACGTGGTCAACGCCGCCGGGGAATCACCTACCAATTACTTCTTACAAGCTCTGCTATAAACCATTACCACATTATTCGAAGATTTGCATCATCGTTTTAGCTAATCGTGGCAACCGTTTCATAATAAATACACAAGGTCATAATGGTCAGCTTTTCCTAGTAGCTATGACCGCACGAATTGGTGACGTAGAAAGCGAGTTTTCCACGAACAAATATTTAAGAGCCTGTGAGTATTGATTTATAAGTTACATAAATATCAGATTACTTTTTCTTCATAAACAGTTGTTATTTTAATTAAGAGAGAGAAAAGAAAAGATAAAGAGTTTTGACCTAAACACTATAAGTTATATGGTTCGCTACTGACCCCCTACGGATCCATGGTGGATTTTTTTCACCGTCTATGGTCCGTAGGAGGTCAGTAGTGAACCGTATAACGAATTTATCGCAAGCGGGACTTTTCCTGCTGCGTTTTGTAGAAAAATAATTAATGAAATACAACAACATTAATGGATGACGTCACAATTAACTGTAGACGTGACGTCATGAACCCCCTATGAAATTTACTAACCCCTTACCGTAATACGGATCAATAGGGGGTCACCACGTGACGGCGTTAAACCAATCACAACATGATAATTTACCCGCGGTGCGATAACAATTGTTATTCGTTGATTTCAGTGCTTGTAACATTGGTAAACGTTGGTTTAAATATTATGTATGCAAGTCTGATATAAAAGTAAAGTTTTGATCATCAGTAATGTTTTGCTTCTGAAACATTATCAACAATAATCTTTACATCTTCTTTCAGCATGTTCAAAATCGATCAAAGTTAATCCACGACAAATCATTAATATTACGTCACCTGGATATTCCAGGAAATATCCTCCCGGCGTAATATGTCAATGGACAGTACAAACTGCGGACCAAACTCCGCTACGGATACGTCGTATCTGGATTGACATACAGAACACCACAGCATGTAACAGCGATTTCCTTAAATTTACAGAGACAAAAATAGAAAGGATCTGTGGTACATCTCGGTCTTCATCCACCATGATCTTCAGTAAATCGATTGCAGAAGTTACATTTGTCTCGGACAGTACGATTCAAGGTCGTGGATTTCTACTTCAAGCCATCGGTAGCAAGCACACGGGTATGTCAATATATCCATACTCAACAAAGCAGGCAATGAAAATAAGCATAGTGCTGTCATAATTCTGTCTGTTGTCTATTTATTCTTTCCCGTATTAACTATATTCCGCGTGAAATACCTTTTAGATCGAACTATAATTAATCAGTCAATATATGTCTCTTATCATTCACTGCTTTGAGCGACTTTTGATCTGATTTTTTCTGGTTTAATTTTGGGTGATATGAAATAAGGATCATTGGTATAGTTGCCAATGAAACAACTATCTGCAAGAGTCCATATGACGTGGATTTAAGCGACTGTAGGAAACAATAAGCATTCAACCATGAGCAGCTATAAAAGGCTCCGACAAGAGAAAATAAGAAGCAATTAAAACGAAAAACAACCAACGACCTGATTTATGACATAGAAATAAACGAAAACATATACGACAGACATAAAACAACGACAACCACTAGATTGCACGCTAATGTCTTAGAACAAGCTCGTACAGAATGTGTAAAACTGGTTGTAAATGGAGCGGTTATTTACCCCTCTGCATTATTATTCATCTTGCATTTGAATGCAATAAACAAACTTCTTAATCCTATATAGTTACGGTGAAAGACTCGTTCGTTCTAGGAGTTTATGTACAGTCAATGCAGACACCTGCGAACACTATGAACATCTTCCTGTTTGTTTTTGTTGTTAACATTACCGCAACCTTTTCGAGGGAAAAAAGTGTTCACAAAAGTTTTTCTGTCAGGCATACTTTCCTCAAAGTGTACACTGACCTAAAATCGACAATGACAATTATCAGTTAAAAACAATTTCAATGGCATTGTCCAAAATAGCAATTTTAAATAAGGTGTCAAAACTGTTTTGACTTCATTCTTTCTTACCGTTCTTTACATTGGAATATACAAAACTAGATAAAATTGAGAATGGAAATGGGGAATGTGTCAAAGAGACAACAACCCGACCATAGAGCAGACAACAGCCAAAGGCCAACACCTGCAGCGAGAAACTCCCGCACCCGGAGGCGTTCTTCAGCTGGCCCCTAAACAAATAAGTACATTAGTTCAGTGATAATGGACGTCATACATTTTTGCGCCTGTCCCAAGTCAGGAGCCTCTGGCTTTTGTTAGTCTTGTGTCATTTTTAAATTTAGTTTCTTGTGTATAATTTGGAGTTTAGTAATTATATATGAGAAGAACATAACCCGTGTCATGCCAACGACTGGTTTAAGAATAATTGTGTTAATTCCGATGCAAAGACCCTATACGTGAATCAATATTGAAGCCAAAATATGCAATCTTTAATGACATGACAACAGTATCGTAACTATATCCCTTCTTAATAAGTCTGTTTAAAGGTTTTGTTAGCTTTTGAGGTGAATATTGACATTTTTGTGCTTTGTAAAGAATATTACCATAAAAGATTGGATGTGAAATACCCGAACGTATCAGATGTCTACATGTTGAGCTATGTATGGTATAAATCAACGAAACCCAATCGAGATAAAGAAACCAAAACAGACAAGAAACCTATGTAGATGTTCATTTCAAATATTTACCATCACATATGTCATGCATTTTATAATGTAATAAGAAAAGGTAAAATATACCAAGGGCAACCAAATTAACAAAGAAAGATTTTTACAACAGGACAAAAAACAAGAACGATAGAAAAAACAACAGTCCACAAAACGAAACACAGAATATTAAAGAATAAGCAGTACAAACCACACCAACAACGGGTTGAACTCAGAGTGTTTCGGAAGTATTAGCGTTGAACTCAGAGTGTTTCGGAAGTGTAAACGTTGAACTCCGAGTGTTTCGGAAGTGTAATCTGTTCCTATTTTACTTCTAAGGTCCCGAGAAGAGACCAAAAGGTGGGATTACAAACAAAACTCAATACACCACATGGCAACCCATGACTAACCAAAATTTAAACATGCATATTCAAGAAGGAGTAACAGTTTGTTTTTCTTATTTTTCAAAAGTTGTTATATTATTTTCTGTTTTACAGTAAAACTAACAACAGCTGTCTTTCCTTATCACCACAAAAGAACAGCAATGTCTACCATTCCTTCGTCTTTATCGACCACTTCTGGATATCAAGTAGAATCAACAGTAGAGGAATTAACATTTCCAACAACGAAATCATTATCCTCTACTTTTATGTCAATCATCACCGCATCATCACAACGTATGATCACGTCATCACAAAATAGAATAACGTCGACACAAAATATGGTAACCTCATCACAAAATGTAGATTTAACACCAGCAGTAGACGAAAACAGCACATTGTTCAACATGTCATCAACAAATACTGTAACATTATCAACTGGAATAAGTACATCATCCGAACAAAATCCTGATTTAAGTGAACATTATATGACAACATCGCATGAAACACATCATGGATTCACATCCTCATCAACTGTCATGTTTGATAAAACAATTGAATCTAGCACATTAGGTAGCGAAACAAGCATAATAGATAACAGGTATTCTGTGACTCCTGGGAAAGAAATTTCACCAACAATAAATCGAGCAAATAGCATTACAGAAGTTAGCAGCACAGGTAAGATATATAAATTAACTAAAATATGCTTATATTCTACTTCACTTCGTTCATACGAATATACAACATTTCTAATTTCTCTATAATAAATAAAAAACAAATCTAAAGGATTGAGATGGCACACCAACCAGATTTAATTATATAATATTTAACATTGAATTTTAATAAAGAGTCCAATATTGTTTACCGTGCCCGGAAATTTAGAAACGATCCTGGTAAACTTATCGATCCTTTAAATAAACTTATTCTAAAAGGTTACCAATTCAACACTGTAATTGGATCATTAAATATTGTTTTTATTGGTACTTATATTGATTTTGTTATCAGTAAATTAAAAGCATATTAAATATTATTGTTATATACATATACACATTCATGGATCTACAATCTGTCGATACCTGTATCTTGGCATTGCACAAGGTCATGTTTTTCTCTGACTGTTTATGACGTCTTTACACTAAATCCATTGGATGTTGGATGTGTACGGATTGATAATTTAGTCTTAGATGCATGATTTTTTATTAGTTGTTAGTGGCTTTGAACTAGCTGTCAGTAACTACGAGTACTCTCAGATCTGTACATAGTGTCTTTTTGTTGTTTGGATGTACAAGTACCCGGCCACGTCCACTTGTATTTGTAGTATTTGTATATTTATCCATCTGATGAGTTAAGCCTCTTTCAACTGATTTTTATAGTTCGTTCTTATGTTGTATTGTTACACCACTGTCCCAGGTTAGGGGGAGGGTTGGGATCCCGCTAACATGTTTAACCCCGCCACATTCTGTATGTATGTGCCTGTCCCAAGTCAGGAGCCTGTAATTCAGTGGTTGTCGTTTGTTTATGTGTTACATATTTGTTTTTCGTTCATTTTTTTGTACATCAATTAGGCCGTTAGTTTTCTCGTTTGAATTGTTTTACATTGTCATTTCGGGGCCTTTTATAGCTGACTGTGCGGTGTGGGCTTTGCTCATTGTTGAAGGCCGTACGGTGACCTATAGTTGTTAATTTCTGTGTCATTTGGTCTCTTGTGGAGAGTTGTCTCATTGGCAATCATACCACATCTTCTTTTTTATATCCAAAACGGTTGACTTCCTAAATGAACAGTAACATGCATCTACAAAATAAAAAAAAAAATGTTAAAAAAAAATGTATCATGTTAATACATGCAAATTGTTTCGATAATATACCCGTCGAACTGGTTATCAAGTGTAAATGAATCTCGATAAATGAAACAGGCGGGACAACAACCTTTTGTAGTCGAGTAGACCGAACTACTTACACAAAACAAAAACAAAAAATGTGCAAGCAAATACATACGCTTAAGATTCAAAATGAAATATATATCTTAACAATTCTCAATCATCATTAAAAGTGAGCTTATTTGTCGCTGTTTTTCGGTAAAAAAATGACAAACGAATTGTAAACAGATATTGGAAAGAGAGAAAAGAAGACAATGGTAACATGCGTCAGTAATGGCAATCGGACGTACTATATAATTTACACCGAAACAATACTCAGCATAAAAGACAAATCAAACCAGTCAAAAGAAAATTGTCAAGTATATAACTACGGAAACGATTTTGACTTTTCGAATGAGTTTGGTTATATGACATATACATGTAGTATAACTTCTGAAACTATTTTGACTGAGTAAGTATTTGCATTGTGCATGTTGTGGTTTGCAAGAGACTCGTATCCTATCGACACATCCGGTCTTGGTCATTTTGGAGTTCACTGGATTCCCTTAGTTGTTTTGTAACATTGAATTGAACGGTTTACTACTGTTGTCATAATCCAACAAAAACCTGATTAACAACAAGAACATGTTGTATTTGTTAATTTGGTATTTATATGATATACCATTTTGATATATACACTAAATGTTTTACAGGAATTGGTGTACAGTTTTCTGAACCCCGCATTTGTGAGTAAAATACGATGTCGTCTATTGTGCAAGTAAATACTATGTGTACAAATGCTAATTCAGTCGACCCTTGCATCATAATCTGTTTAATCTTTAATCAGTTTAGATTGATACAATTAAAATAAATCAAACAAAGAGAGTACATCCTGGCAAAAAGATACTTTATTGTACAAAGACAAAAAATACTGTCATATTTCTGAATTGGCAAATGCATTATTGTAGTGAATGACACAGGTTCTATGGAACACAATCACTCTTCCACATCTTCACATGTTGCATAGAAAAGTATCATAAAGTAACTAAACTGAAATTTACTATAAGTCTGAAAAAAATAATGTATTCAAACTATTATCTCAAAGCGAAAATCATATCGTATATGAAATAAGGAGATGTAGTGTAATTGTTGATGATAAATTCATTCACAATACTTAATCATAAAGGATTATTTGTTTTTAAATTGAACTTAAATACAAAAAAAGTATGCAACAGAGAGGCAAAAGATACTAAAAGGACTTTGAACTCATGAGTCGAAAAAAAACCAACTGAAAACGTCGGGGCCTTTTATAGCCGACTATACTGTATGTTTTTTTCTCATTATTGAAGGCCGTATGCTTGCCTTTAATTGCTTACATCCACTTCATTTGAGATTTGGTGGATAGTTGTCTCATTACCTATAATACCACATCTCCTATTTTTATTTTGATAAAAAACGAAAAAGACAAAACACACAAAGATTAATATACGTCCCTTGATCTGTACTTTTATTTTTGACGTGAACTATTTCCATAATAATATTTTGTTATTTTAGATGTGAACGCATCCCATCCTGTATATCTCATGCTTATGTTCATGTTTAATTATACGACGGAAATTGATTTAGATACTAAATCATTAGTGAAAGACCTACGCACAGAGGTAACTTATGCTAGCTTTACGTGGGTCGGTGAACAGAACGTACTTATCTCTCGGATCTAGAGCTATAACTTATCTTCTAAAAATAATATGCTTTTATCTAGCATGCCAAACGCGCTTTTTATCTACACAAGACTCGACAGTAGGGCAAAAGAATAAAACATTGGAATGCAAAATCAATAAATTATAAATGAAGTTGAAGAGCTTTGAAAACCAAATATCTCTATTCTTTGTGTCAATCTATCTAAGGCTATCTATATCAAGAAGGATAAAAACCTAAGTGTTTTGAATGATTTGGTTTCGGACAACACAGGGAAATGTCGACTGGACTTTCACATTCCGGACTAATAACAAACTCTTTAACTGGCAAATTAAATTTTTCAATTGAATGAAAATATGTATCTGCCATCACCATATTTACTGTGGCAGAAATAAAATATATGTTTCTATACCTTTATTTCTCTAGCTGTCAATTTTCATTTTACTTTCTTTCTACTTTATTTTGCTTTTGAAACTAATTCAAAATTAATAAATGATTATAATAGATGAAACTATTTTACTTTTTCTCATTTCAAGCTGATCCCATTCTTCAACAAAACCAATGCTTTCCGAGATCTTGTTGTCACCAGATGGAGGTAAGTAAGTGTTCCCTTTAAGGCAAAACATATTTCAAAATGCTTTCTCCTTTTAAAGAAAATTGATATACATGAAAAAAAATCAGCATTACTGACCGATGAACCAGAGTTTGGTTTTTATATGTGTGGCTGAAAATATATCTTTTTAATTATCAATAAACTTGCACCTTATTGCAAATTAACCTTTTATTATCATATAAAATAAAACATGACTTATTTTAGCGGTTATTACTTACTTTCAGAATCCTACGAGGAATAGTTCCTTTACAAATAAAAGTAATTTATAACAAGATAGATCTGCTGGACATATTGAAGTCAAACAATACATTCAAATTGATACAGTATGTTAACCAAACTACATTGTACGAACTGTTGAACACAAACCACGAGTGGCATCATAATCTAACATTAGCCAAAGCATCCTTAAGAAAGTTCAGGAAAAGTTCAAACTTTGGTAAGACAATATACATTATGTTAAAGATTTTTCTGAGTTTCAGTTAGTTTAGGAAGAATGTATTCAAATCACTTTTGAGTATCGAAATTGTCTGTTTGTTTGATTTAATTTCTTGCTACTGTTGGTACATATTTTTAGCAGTCCGGTTTATTTGTAGAGACAAAACGTAATGCCAGCTATGCCTTGTGGAAGAAAATCATTAGTATTTGGAATGATTATTGCATTTTATTAACAGTAAATCTATAAAAAGAACTGCATCTATGATATAAAACACTGTTAGTTGTAAATGGTCAAAAATATCATCAAAAATACCAGGTTTATAATTTTGTACAAGAGAAACCCGTTTCATCTACATAATACTCATCAATGGCGCTGGAATCAAAATAGTCAAAGGTCAAATCAAATACGAAAGGCAGTCTTTGTAATATTAGCAATGTACATGTTGAACTACCCCACTCACTCGACAACGGAAGACATTTAACTACAAAAGACATTAACCACCAAAGAATAAAATGGGTTTATATAGCTCTCTATTATTGAGATAGTCAATGAAGAATATTATAATAGTAATAGATAACACATTCTATTACATTACTTTTTTCTCTTTTTCTATTTCCCTTTAAGTTTTAATTAATGAACTATAATGTTGTGTAACTTTGAAACGTATACCAGAAAAGCTGTCGTCATATCCGATCACGTCTTCCAACATGTTATTAGGTTTTGCATTTTCACAAATTTTGACCCGAGCATCACTGAAGAGACATTAATTTCCGGAATGCGCATCTGGTGCATAAAAACTTGGTACCGTAAAATAATGTTGTTATTACGCTTTTATTGAGTTTCTGGTACTAGGATGTGACAAGCGCACTACTTAGTGATATATAATGTAGACGATTCCTATTATGTTTGTTTAATCAGATACACATTCTTTAATGACATTTACTTGATTTATTTTCCAGCAAGTCAAGAAATCAAGAGTCCATGCGATCTTATCAAAGATGTTTGTCAAAATTGCAAAACATCAAGAAGAGCCAAACATGGAGTTTTTTGTTCGTTTATTATTCCAAGTACAACGTATGTTTATATACATGTCTATCGTTTATATATTTAAAAGAAATTGTTTAAATTTTTGAGCTATAATGTTTCTTTCACAAAAACGGGTTTTACTTTTCTAACATAATGTTAAACTCATCACAAAGTAGTGTACGTGTTTACTGCATTTTTGATATATATGACTTTATAGATTACGCATACTTACCTTGCTTCTAACGGATGTTCGTTTGTCTGTTGTAAATTTTCTGATGTTTCCTTCGTCGCTCAAAAACAGAAGCATCCTTTAGAATCACTTTGTGACATACTTCTGACAAAAACTTAAGAATTGTGTAATTTTCCTTTTTTTGTTAAAATTTATGTTGGTCGGACAAGTCAGCATATCTGAGACAAGAAGAAGGAAAACCTTCATGATTTTTACTTCTATTGTTGTTGTGCTCTTTGTTACAGGTACCCAAGTGAAAACAAAAAATGAAAACCCGGATGCATTAATGATATGCCGATTCTTCTTAGAGAAAAAAGAAAGTTTGAATAGACATTGTGTGTTGTTGATTCGGATCAAAGAGAGGCGAAATATATCAAAGGGATATTCAAACTCATAAGTCGAAAATAAACTTGACAACGCCATGGCAAACAAAGAAAAGAACAAAAAGACAAACAACAGTAAAAAATCCAATCAACAACTGGGGTTGTTCACAGGTACTACGGAAGGGTAAGCAGATCCTACTCGTGTTGCTCATGTAAGAACAAATGAGGTAGTCAGTCTAGATAAAGGCAATAGTAGTATACCGCTGTTCAAAAGTCATAAATCGATTAAATGAAACAAATCCGGGTCATAAACCAAAACTGAGGGAAACACATCAACTATAAGAGGAAACCTATTGAACAACAGAAACACTGAACTGCTACAAAAACAAACGCCAACATTTATAGAAATGGACTATTAGATAACAAATAACATATTCCTGACTTGGAACAGGACATTTTATGAAAAATTGGTAGGTTGAACCTGCTTTTATGGCTAGCCAGACCTCCCGCTTATATGAAAATGTTAAAAATACCTCTAAAATGACAACATTACGTGACAGGAATACAGTACAAATAAATGCAAGAACACTTAGGACAGAGCAATACATAAATAAATAATATAATAGTACATTTCAACATGTAAACCACAGAATAACAACCAACACCTAAAATCAATTTACGACAGTACACAAGTACAGCACAATAGAATTATGAACTGTGCGTCACACGAATGTATCAACGCCACAAAAGTGACGTCACAGGTAAATTTCTAAAAATAGAATATAAAATTTGGATTAAGTTTGTAATGGTGTTCTTTGATGTTTTTTTCTAACCATCAGATAATAACTCATCAACACCATTTTCCTACTTCTTTTTCAACTTTGGAAAAACTAGAATGCCTAGATTACATTTGATTGTATTATCATTAATTCGTACTATTGAGATACTGTTATACAATATTATGAAATGACAAGTGATTGCATTTTCAGAGCAAGAAATATCTTAGCAGCAGATACACCACATGCCAGCAACCCAATAATGATTATTTTAGGGTTATCTGTCCCTATTGTTGTACTGGCTATATTCACTGTCGGAATTTGTTTGCGGAGACGGAATATTTTAACTAAGCATATTATAGTTGAGGTAATCGTAATGTGAATGTCTTGAAGATAATAATGCTATTACGAAAATAAATATTAAAATTATATCTTGTGCTATTCAATTGTGTTCCCGTCATTAAATTATGATAGTCTATTTATATTTTTGTCTTGCCTTGACGGAGTCAAAAAGCGAGACATAGGTATGCTGTTTCCGGCGTCGGCGTCGGCGGCGGCGGCGTCAACAATGTATTAATTTGTGATTAGGTCTAGTTCATGGTGAACCACTAGTGGTAGGTCAATGATATTTGGTATGCAGTTGTATTAACATTGGCACATCTCATTTCCATGGGGATTATTTGGCCCCACCCCTCAGTCAACGTCTATTGACTTTGAAACTTTGTTTAGTTGACATGTATTGGTTTGTGACTAGGTCAGTTTATGGGGAACCACTAGTGGTAGGTCAATGATATTTGGTATGCAGTTGTATTAGCATTGGCACATCTTATTACCATGGAGATAATTTGGCCCCGCCCCCTCAGACAAGGTCTATTGACTTTAAAACTTTGCTTAGTTTATATGTATTAGTTTGTGATTAGGTCAGTTTATGGAGAACCACTAGTGGTAGGTCAATGATATTTGGTATGCAGTTGCATAAGCATTGGCATATCTCATTTCCACGGAGATTATTTGGCCCCGCTCCCTATTCATGGTCTATTGACTTTGAAAAGTTTGCTTGGTTTTCATGTATTAGTTTGTGATTAGGTCTGTTTGAGGGGAACTGTTAGTGGTAGGTCAATGATAACTGGTATGCAGTTGTATAAGCATTAGCACTACTCATTTCCATGGAGAATATTTGTTCCTTACTCCTCAGTCATGGTTTATTGACTTTGAAACTTTTGCTGAGTTTACATGTATTAGTTTGTGATTAGGTCAGTTTAAGATGAACCACTAATGTTAAGTCAATGATATTCAGTATGCAAATGTACTGGCATTTGCAAGTTTCATTTCCATGGAGATAATATAACCTCACCCCCTAATTATTGTTCATTGACTTTAAAACTTTTACATAGTTTACAAGTTACTGTTTGTGTTTAGGTTTGTTTAAAGGGAACGACGTATGAAATGTCGATGGTATTCGGTTTGCAGTTGTATTAGCATTGGCACATCTCATTTCCATGGAGATTGATTAGCCCTGTACCTTCAGTTATGGTTCATTGACTATGAATATTTTCATAACTTGCAAGTTAAAGTATTGATATTTTAATTTCAACATTTGCATTATCAAAATAACAAATAGTCGAGACATATCTCTGTGTTAACAGTTTATTACAACCGTTATATAAGTTCGAGGTAAGAAGTAAGATTGCTGATATGTTAATGATTGATTTAACTGGCTTGGTGATGCGAATCTCGGAATATGGGCAATCGAGACCTGAAAGCTAATTTTGAATATTCATGCATCACTATATTTCTTATTTCCTGTCATTTTAATTAAGATTTTAGCATTTTAGATTAAAACAGCAGCTTATAACAAAAACTGCCTTTCACAAACTAGGCGTCAAAAATATGACGAAGAGTTGAAAATTAAACTTTCTATAAACATTCAATTCATTTTGCAGGGGAATAACAACAATGTGCCTGTCCATGATTTCATCAAAAAGAAAAGATCAGGAAATGTAATTATGACGGGTTTCTCTGCCACCAAACCTGTCAAGAAAAGAAAGAAACGAGGGTGGTCTCTTCCGTGTAGAATTATTCTGGAGAAACAAAAGGTGTGTTCTAATATCATTACCAAAAAAAGAAACAGGGTAGTAAATGTTGTTAATCATAGTGATATTTGTCATTCAGACAATGCTTTCCACTTAAAGTATAAAATTTATTCTTGCAACGATATAAATTTGGTAAAGGGTAATCTTCTTGTGCAAGAAGAAAATATACATCCAATAAAGTGTCAGTACAAATTACGGAATTAATTGCTCTTTAGCCATATCAAACAAAAACACTAAACAGGCATCTTTTACACTAAATCGGAGGATAAATCTAAATATATCATACCTTTAACAACATAAATCTTCTTTTAAGTCGAGATAAAAAGTATAGTAGTACAGAAATTATATCTCTGAATAGAAAGCAGAATCATATCTCAAAAAGCAGAATTATACCTCTGAGGAGGTATAAAACCACTTATTTATAGCCCCATTGCTTTCTATGTTAAATTCTGCAATTTCAAGCATAAATGGCTACTTTATCTTAAGTTCAAATAAAGTGGCAGTTATTTCATGTCAAAACTGTACCTTATGCTGACTTGTGCTGAAAAAATCAACATACCTTTAATTGCATATTAGAGCGTACTGGTTCCCGGAAGTTTGATAGTACAAAAACAGGAACTTCTGATCTGAACAACAGGCCAAATGAGCCCTCCTATTAAAATTTCCTATACTTCTTTATTATTCAAATAAAACTTTCAACAAGGGTTCTACAGTGACCCCAAGTCCCCAAGCTCTCATTTGATACTAAAACTACCCAAATATTCCCACTATTGACAAAGATACAGCTATGCGTAGGAACTATTTTGTTTAAAATATGTACTACTTTCTTGTATGTTCTTTCCGACCGGGCCTGAATTAGTGGTTCTATACCAGGAGAAAGAAGAGGTCTGTAGATCTAGTATTTCAATTTTTTCACGTATGTCGAAACAGTAAACATTCATTTACTATTCTTAACATTTTGTAGAATGAGCATAACATTGAGCAGAAAACGAAGAAACTTGGAAGGTTTATTGAAGACACTGATACTTTAAAGGAACGTCTTAGAGTGAAAAACAGACTTAGGCGCGGAGAAAGCTTTTGATACTAATTTCATGAAGTTATAAGTTTTCTTATTGCTGTTGTCATTTCTATCGAACATCATTTTGCTTGTACAATTTTATGTTTTGCAAAATATCGTGTCGATGTATTTGATAGAATAATTGATAATTTAAATATAGTTGACGATAAATACCCTGTTCATTTGAATATTTTGACAGGACATAATATTTTATAATTTGGTTCGAACGAGAACACATAAAGAAAAACATATGATTAGGATAAAATTCGTTCTTCTAATAATATGATAATGTCAGCATATAGCGTTTTATCTTACCTCCTATACATTTCTAGGAATATGATTGGTTAAAAGCGTCCGCGTGGAGACCGTGTATATTCCATATTAGGTTAGTAGGGAGGCGGGGCTTATTTCATACACGGTTAGTGGTGTTACGTCCCTTTATAAAAACAAAACGGTACTGAGAAAAAATCTTAAAGGTTTCAACAGACGAAGAAATTGATGATGAAGATTGAAATAAATTCATAAAACACATTTAAACCTAAGAAGTTGTTATTGTTGGCATCTGTTTTTGTAGGATCAATGGAAGTAGTTTCTTAATGCTAACGGTATTGAAGACTTGCTCATTTTGATAGGTCACTAGTCTAAATTTCACACGTTAAGATAGTCGGTAAGATAAATTCGTTACATAGTGTGCTAGTGACGTAATACGGTATATATGGGGTTAGTAAATTCCATATGGGGATTCGAGCTTCGCTAGCACCCCATATGGAATTTACTGACCCCATATATACCGTATTAGGTCACTAGCACACTATGTAACTAATAATATTTATCATATCAGTTGTGTAATCATGATATCAGCCCAATCTACACTACCCGACCACAAGAAAGTTACACTGAGCCTCAAATTTTACAACAAAATAAATAATGATGTTTTGAAAACACTTTTTTGTCGAGCCATGATAAGTTTTGCCAAATTGTTTGATAAAATGACATATTTCTAAGGTTTGGTAGACCGCAAATTTGAAGTCTTTTGATAGACAGTGTATAAACGTGAGGAATTATCTATGACAGATAAATAGAAGAAAAAATAGCTCGAGGAACGCTATGCAATATCAATAACCTAATGGTTTGAATATCATTCACCATACTTGTCTCATTTACATTTCAAAATGAAATATATATATATATTTCGCATATACAAGAAATGAAAAAAGTCTAAATGTGTTTCTATGATTGAATACACTGTTAATAAATCACGGTTATCTAACATATTATAATAAGAAAAGACCAAATCAAGAAAACAAAAGCATGATACTCAATAATATTTATGTGTCCAATAAAAAGAGTCATAAACACCATGATATTAAAAACCATATAGATTATAAGAGCAACTTAAGAGGTGAGAAAAAAAGACGCAAAGGACGGTTTAGATATTCAAAGTTTGTACACTCAAACCTGATACCCTCTCTTTCAAAAAGATAAACTGTGCTTTTAAGAGATGTAACTTTTGAATTCAGGTTCAACCTGCATAGTTATTACTACTACTAGACAAGAAGAGGTCGACCTGGCAAGGTGCGGTTTCACTAAAATGAGGCGACCGCAATTTAAGGATTGACTGTTATAGGTTTTGGATTTTCGAATATGTTGGTTTCGAGCGTCACTGAGGAAACGTTCAATGTATAATTGTGCAGCTGGTGCAATAAAAATTGAACAGAAAATATTATATAACTACCCCTATGTCTAAATATCTGCTGTTTGGTTGTTAGACAAAACAGTTTTGTCAGCCCAGCAGCTCATTAACTCTGAACTGGCATGGCAGTACAAATATTATTCTTTTAATTGGTGATTTATCTTTAAGATCTGGTTGCTTTTTTGCTATACGTTTTGATCTTTTTTGGAATTATCAGCCCGGACAATTTGTTTTATTTATGAGATTTTCTTATTTTTGACCTACAGCTTCCCTAAAGAGACATTAATTGTCTAATTGCGCATATGCTGCAGTTAAATTTGTATTGTAAATGTTGTCATTACCACTGGGTCGATACCTCTGCTGGTGATATAAATCTCTGATTTATCATCACCAAATCGCTGAATTCATTTGTACTTGCAGGAAAATACGAATGCTTTTTTTAAATTTTTATCTCATAAATCATGAAAAATCATTTCAATTTAAATTAGATATCTATCTCTCCCGTGTAAAGCAGATTCCTCGACTGGGTTTGCCTGAACTTTCGGATATACCAGCCAATCAAAATCTGTTTTACATTTTAGATTTTGGCCTCGAACATCACTGACGAGACATAACGAGAGGCAAAAGATACCAAAGTGACATTTAAACTCACAGTCCAAAACGAACTGATAATGCCATGTCAAAAAACGAAAAACGACCAAAATGACAAACAACAGCATGGAAAACATAACATAGAAAACAAAAGACAGCAATTGTTGTTATGCACGTCTGATGCAGTCAAATTGCTATTAAGTTCTTATGGTATGACTAAATACAAAGATAGATAACTAAATATATGATTGTTCACTTACCCTTATAAATGTGCTAATAAAATAACAGTTGCCTCTAATTAATTTTTCATATAAAAAAAATGTTTCACTAAGCTTGTTTTACTGATGTGCACACTATCTTGGATGATATGTCGTTTATTAGTTAATAGTGACGTCTGAGTATTTTTTAGATGTTGTCTTCATAGATTGTCTCAATGAAGAATACTCAGAATCTTGAATTTTTAAGTTTCATAAACAGAATAAGAAACTGTAAATTTATGATAAACTTTCAGAATAAATTGGAGTGCGGAACAAGTCTAAATACTGAAATAAAAAAAAATAATAACTGATTTTTTTTTAAATGACTATGGTGTACCTGTACCTAGTCGCCTTGCAACAAACAGTTTATCATGTTCACTCTTTAATTCATTTTGAGACGGGAATAGTAATAATATTCAATGACAAAATTAATTCAATAGTAAATTATAAAGAAAAGATGATATGACGGGGTTCTCTGAGAGCAAGGAAAAATGAGAAAACATCGATAATGTTACCACTGTAGGGTTAAGTTATTTTTCTAATTTCATTTCAAAACAGATTGAAAAATATAATGCTTCATAATTAACATGCTATCATTCTTCAATGCTAAGAAACGAACTGAAACGTAAAACATCCATTCGAATGCTAAAATTAGGTTGAAATGTGTATGCATGAAGTACTCACAGTTTCAATAATTGGTTCTAACTTCTAACGTTTTGAAATTGGTCACTATAGTATATGTTAAAATTGCATGTAGCTTACAACACTCATTGGATCTTTTTTCTCAAACCAGGCCAAAACAATTTAAACCAAACAGAAAATACAACCTTCGCCGAATTAAGTCAAAGGGGTTATTTATTCCATAGAAGATAACTGAAAACGTCCTTTGAAATGGATTAAAAGAGGGACGAAAGATACCAGAGGGACATTCAAACTCATAGATTGAAAACAAACTGACAACGACAAGGCCAAAAATAAAAAGACAAACAGACAAATAATAGTACAGATGACACAACATAGAAAACTAAAGTCTAAGCAACACGAACCCCACCAAAAACTTGGGGTGATCTCAGGTGCTCCGGAAGGGTAAGCAGATCCTGTTCCACATGTGGCACCCGTCGTGTTGTTTATTTTATTACAAATCCGGTAAATAGTCTTATTCGGTAGGTCACATTCGTGAAAAGGGAAGGGTATTGTAGTTACGACATAAGGAACATATCTGATATCATCTGTGAAACGGTTATTCCATAACGGTCAACCAACTCGTGATGGCGTCCGTAAAATTTACGAAGGAATGATTTCAACTTCACCATTTGGAACTCTTGGTTTAATAGCTTCCTTGTGAGCAGCAATCCTCTATCAAGGAAATCATGATAGGAAATACAAGCCCTAAAAATGCGATGTAATTTATAATCATATTCCATATCTAAAAAAAACATAGATTCAGGAAACTAAAAAGTTAATTTCCTAAAATATTTCCTGTTTATTTGACCTCATACTGGTTATTTGGTTTTCCTTTTTCAAAGCTTTATTCTAGCAGAGGTGTAATACAATCTTTGTTTTCCCTTATAAGTCTTTGTTGAATTTGCACTTTTCAAAAAATTGTGCAGAATTTATTTTTGTTTCAAATAAAGAAATACTTGGCATGAGTAAAGTTTTATCCTGTCCAGTACTACAGACAAAATTTTACATAACATTTCATTGCATATAAGATAATAACCATCACTGGAAGTTAACCAATGAAATTTTCGCCCCTTTTTTTCCTGTATACAAGCTTTAGTAACCATGAACCTCAAGTTTCCAAAACATTCTATAGAAACACCAAATAAAAAAAAAAGAATGGTGCTTTGAAACACCCAAGACATATGTTTATGACTCAGAAATTTTTAATGCAATGAAGTTTAGGATTAATTTCCTACAACTGTCAAATTCAAGGGAATAATTTTTTTTCAACCCTTTTTCGTATGCAACCAGAATAATTAATCAGTGATGTTTCTTATCTTATTTTGACAAAATTAAACTAAACTGGCTGACTAAAGTGTGAATCATTATTTGCACTATTTCATTTTCATTGTTATTTGAAAAAAAATAAATCATATACTATCTATTTATATATCTCGTAGCTAATGCCCCTTTAATATGATCTGGATTTTGTCATTCAACCATTGTCTTCGGAAAATTCAGGTTTTAAGTAGAAAATATAGCAGTTGGTTTTTACTCCTTCTGTTTGTTAAGAAATTAATTTTGTCACCTCTTATGGACTTCCTCTTTTAAAATTTACCTTGGAGTTTTATATTTATATTGGGTATCAATTCAGAGACAAATATTGTCAAAATGCATATATGGTAAAATACATTTGGTATCGTTAGTGCTAGTTGTTGATAGTTTATCTATGATATTCGGGACAATTGCAGACACCTGCGCAAGCTTATTTTATATTTTTATCTAGAAGTCCATTAGTTTTTTATGCTTTTGACCTAATTATTGGCGTATATTCCATTACGTTTTGATTAATAATTGATAAAACCATGTAAACCAATCTTTATTATGTAATATGCACAAACAAAAAACATTTATAACAAATAACTAAAAAATATACATGAAACGCGATATACTTGCATTGCTGGTATCTATAATAAGATAAAAGTAAAAGGCGAGATACCTTTTTTTTAAATTTTTTTCGAATGCAAGTGCATATTTATTGAAATTTGCCCTAATTGTAAAATGCATTGCTCTTAAATTGACATTAAAAAAATTAAAAAAAGTACGAATGTTCAATCATATAAAAGCAGGATGATTAAACTCTTGTCACATAGGTCATTGGAACATCTGTATTTGTGTCTAAATGCAAGATCGATGATCTTAAATCAAAGGAAATTAGTTTTAACCGTTACGTTCTGGATCATCAAGCATGTGTTGATCATCGATGAGGTCGTAAATGATGTCACTCCTTGAAAGACTATCTTCATTCACAGCTTGGAATCGACACTTACTATTATCTGACGTTTTTTGTTTCCATTTCAACCTGTAGCATATTTGAGTTCCACGTTTTCGGCAAAATACAAATAACCCAATGGAAACTACACACAAGCCAGTACTCATGATATAAATCAATAACGTCTTTTTTGTCATCAGTCCTGCTAAACAATTAGAATTAAAGTATTACTTTTCAGGCAGAAATGACATTATATTTTATAAGAATAATTATGATAATACCGATATTAAAGCAATGAAGTTGTGAAGTATGATAGAATAATATATTCTAGAAAAAAGGGAAAGAAGAAAGCAAGGGCGTAAAGTCAAATCATAATAATTTTCAAATGAAAATATTTAATGTCATGACCAAAAGAATATAATGATGAAAAACGTACGATAATTAAAAAAAAACTTACGCATAAAATGAGAGATTGAGGAACTTTAAACTAAAATAAAGCCTAGTGTGAACTCAGATGTAGTTATGGGGAAGCAGTTTCTTTTCTAAAAGTTGAAATATCGAAAAATAGGTATACTTTCGTGTTAATTTGACCTGTTGATACAATTTGTAGTGCTTTTTTGTTATTTAATGTTTATTTATTTAGTGTTATATCTCGTCTCTCTTTTTTTAATATATACCAGCTTTGATAAGTGCTTGGTATGACTATAAATTTTCACTTCTGTTCTCGTACTATGAACAACACAATTATTTATTTTGTAAAAAACATTTCCGTTCTCAATTATGTATACCTTACAACAAAATTATTTTCATTTACCTGTGTACATTATTCTATTTGGCGGCATTTTGTTCATGGTTAAGGTTGTCTTTCTGAAATTGTTTAACATCTCACCCCTTATTTTATTGATTTTGTATTTACAGTGTGTCATAAATCATTTTTATTAGTTCAGTGTATAGTCACTTGTTTGTGTTAATATGTCTTTTGATTGAGTTGAGCCATTTCAATTGATATTTTATAGTGTGTCTTTCTATGTTGTGATGTTACACTATTGTTTCAGGTAAGGGTGAAGGTTGGTACCTATTAAAACGTATAAGCCCGCTGCATTCGTTTGCACCTGTCCTTAGTCAGAAACCTGATGTTCAGTGGTTGTCGTTTGTTGATGTGGTTCATAAGTGTTTCTCGTTTTTCGTTTTTTATATAGATTAGACCGTTGGTTTTCCCGTTTGAATGGTTTTACACTAGTCATTTTTGGGGCTCTTTATAGCTTGCTGTTCAGTGTGAGCCAAGGCTCCGTGTTGAAGACCGTACTTTGACCTATAATGGTTTACTTTTACAAATTGTGACTTGGATGGAGAGTTGTCTCATTGGCACTCATACAACATCTTCTTATATCTATTTAGATATTTTGGTAATGTCACAGTGGTTGAAAAGAGGGTGGGGTTATGGCTTCGACAAATAGAAAATTGTATAAGAATTGAATATACTACAACTTTTAAATTAAATCTTTTTTAGACAATTGCAAAAAGACGATGAATTTTCGTATCATGTATGTCACCAACTGCAGCTAACTTATATACTATTTAAAAGAAAACCTCCAATATTACATTGCATTCAGCCTTCATTTAAAATTCATAAATAACGTGTATATTTTGGGGTTTGAAAATAATATCAACCGGGTTTTAACTTCAGCAAAATATGGAAGGAATACATGTGTCACAACAAATCATTTCTGACTATTTTTTCTAATAAGGAATTATTGGTTTCATTTGCTTCAAGCGCTTCCGAATCGAAAACATTTATGTGGAACTTTAGTTTCTAACATACTGTGTCCAAAGGACATTAAAACAATAAAGGCCTTGGACTAAATGTCCATAAATAAATTACATAAACATTGTTGACAAATGAAAATACGGTATACAAAATGTCGAAACAATCGTTTAATTGTTTATTTATAACTCATTTACTAGCTACATATGATGAATTACATTAAAAAGTAAAATCACAAAAATACTGAACTCCGAGGAAAATTCAATCGGAAAGTCCCTAATCACATGGCAAAATCAAATGACAAAACACATCAAACGAATGGACAACAACTGTCATATTCCTGACTTGGTACAGGCATTTTCAAATGTAGAAAATGGTGGATTGAACCTGGTTTTATAGCGCTAAACCTCTCACTTGTACGACAGTCTTATCAAATTCCGTTATATTTACATCGATGCGTGAACAAAACAGACATTATATATAATAGTCAAAATATGGGTACAGCAGTCATCACTGTGTTACAATATCAAAACAAACAGTTATTTACAAAAAAGCACAAAAGCATCTATCAAATTAAAAACCACATTCATTGCTTCGCGTGTCTGACGTCAGAAAATGTAAACGTCACATAAGAAAAAAGTTTGTCATTCAATGTTTATTCAAAACAATTTTATAATTTCACATGGGGAAAGTTGGTATACAGGGTTAAAAAATCAAAAGTTATGTTAGAATTAATTTCAGAAATAGACCGAGATTTAAAATTGTCCAGAAGTTTTTTAGAATTTTTAAGAATCCACATATGGTTAATACCACTACGCGAGTAAAATAAATTTGTCGTTTGTCGTTCAAAGTATTTTCAAATTTATAATAGATCAATAACATAATGACATATAATAGAACAATAACATAATGCCGGGATCTTTTAAAGTACAGAGTCACGTTATAAGAACCACAGAAACACAAAAAGTCGCATATACAAAACACACCAGCAAAAATGAAAGATAATAGAAACACATTGACGGGATGTATAAGTACCTAGCCACGTCAGATGGATATCACAGAAAACAAACCAAACAGTAAAAGTAATATTAATAATAGAACAAAGACAAATGAAAGAACAATATTACACGTTGTTAAGATGATAAACAACGTCAGAATGCAGAATCTATATTTCAAGACCATCATGTATTATTTGTGAAGTTGACACGGAATATTTATCAACAAGGTCTTGGTACCTTCCGATGAACTTTTTTAGAAAAAGGACGAGACGTTCTTTGACATACCCCTGGCTCATCAACTTTCTGCTCAGACACTGGTGACGTTTTACAAAGTCTGAGTAAGAGCTGCAAGCTCTTGAATATCGAATAAGTTGGGAAATGTATATCCCATATGCAGGTGAAGTTGGTATATTGCTACTAAGGTGGGGGAAATTTATAATTTTAAAATTAAAATCGTCTCGTTTGTCATAGATTCTGGTACTGAGATGACTGTGTAGGTCAAATTCGAGATATAAGTCTAAAAATGAGGCGGAGGAAGCCGTGTCTGTTGTTTCTTTAATTTCTAGTTCTGGGGGATATATTAATGGAACCCAATCAGAAAAGTTCGGATTGTTAATGGAAAGAACATCATCAATATATATAAAAGTGAAATTAAATAATCTGGCTTCTTTGATCTTCTTGTTTTTGACAAGTGTCTGAAGGAACTCCGATTCATATGAAAATAAGAAGAGGTCGGCAAGGAGAGGCGCACAGTTCGTTCCCATAGGAATGCCGACAATTTGTTGAAAAAGTCTACCTCCAAATTCAACAAATATGTTGTCGATAAGAAACTCCAGCATACTGATCACTTGTTCTTCTGTGTAGCATGTTTTACCCTTTTGTTCACTATTAACAAAATGTGCCTTATGATATCCCAAAGTAATAAATTTATAGCGTATGCTACCATTTTTATGATGAAAGACATTGTGGATTATTTAAACCTGTGTTGATTTCCAACCATATATTCATGGACAGAACAAATCAAACAAAAATCGGCAAAGTTGAAAACTTCAGGAAATCGTTTTCAAAAATCTAAGCACGTTTATATACCTTTGTTTTCATCAGTAAGTGGACTTCCAGTGGTCGTTTGATGATTCAAACCCCTATTTCTAGTGTTCGTTTCCAACATCGCTGATGATGTTCCAACTATAATATCAAAAAAGTTTATCAACACATTAGTATTTGAATTGCTTTAATGTATTTCGCACTCTTAAATAGCACTGTTATAGTAATTTTTGTAAAGTTGCCGTTAGTACAAAGTTGAACTATTCCAAAAGCATACATGGCACTAGCCATAATTGTTACGCTTTTTTGGAATTTTAGGTTTTTCAGTACTCCTCAATCTCTTATTTTTACCCTTAAACTCTCTTTAATTGAGCGACACTGATGAGTTGTTTTGTTTAAACCAGATATTTTTTATATATGACAAATTATACCATCTGGTACTTTTGCGTTATAGTTTTCACAAAAATTTGTATAACCACACAAAATAAGTTATACATATTCAGAGAAATTAATATAAACTGATATTAACACTGTATAATTTCTGACATCCTAAGCGCTTTTAAGGATTTAACCTTTTTCAAAAGTGCTCTACCACAAGCACTTGAAAGCCAGGGATGAATATGTACAAACGTTTAGATCTATATTACCAAAAAGTTCATTATGAGAAAGCCTTAATTAACCTAAGGTCAGTTTTTGTCGTGGGGAGTTTGAACCTTATTTTTGTAATATTTTCGTTCATTTTTCAACGGGTAATTCTAATTATTATTATGTTTGTATCGACGCACTGACTAATAAGCTGATGATACTCTCATGGACTTACAGTCAAACAGCAGTAATAATGACCACAGTGTAATAATGTTTGAAGTTTGTTTAGCATGCAGACATGCAGATAAAATACTTTAAACTATTTTGATAATGGCAAAACTGATACTAGTATATTTATACCTACCAATATTTATTTTTGTCTTTAGCACACAACCTTTTACCTTGTCACATCTAAATGTAAATTAGAATGTATACATGTCACGGATCCATGTAATTATTAATATATTTATACCAAAATTGACTCTCACAAATTGCGAGTCAAAAAATTAGGTTGTAAATTAAAAAAAAACAATTATGTGGGGATCAGCGTTGATTTACCCGATAAAATCTGTTTTAGTCCCATGATGAACATTGCAGTTGATACGATATTTCAGGGCTTGTGTTTCCTATTATGATGTCCTTGATAGAGGTTTGCTGCTCACAAGGTAGCTTTAGACCAAGAGTTCTAAGTTAAACCTAGTTTTATAGATAGCTAACCCTTCCACTTGTATGACAGTCGTTTAATGTCCCGTAGCAAACATAGTTTCGTAATTTCATTTTTGAATTAAGGGAAACGGATTTATACATGTTATATAAGAGCTCTACTCTTGTTTCCTAATCCCAATTATTGAATTACTTGTATGTTTTGTATTAGCTCTTATAGCTATAAATAACGATTTCTTTAATAAAATATGTTTCAAAAAAAGTCCAGTCATATTGACAAAATAAGGTTAGCAACAAAAACAGACATAGTAGGTTAATGTGACCATAATTTGGATCCTGCAGCCAAAACTGTGTATACATTCTTCAAACAAATTAATCAGATAATGACGCCTACAAAAAAGGACCAGGTAGTAAATTTGACATTGACGTCAACAAAAAGGTTTTTGTGGTTGATGGTACATATCGTCTATAGTAAACATTTTCTCGATAAGATAAAAATAAGTAAATATATATTATAGAATAAACAAAATAGAAACAAGTTAACACTGTAAAACAGATTTGTGTCCGAATTGCACCTATCTGCACCAGGAATGCCTAAAGTCAAACAGTCAAAAGCCTGATGGCTGGATGTATAAATAATCAGTCATCAAAAGACATACATTAAACGAAACATAATAGCTCGAAGACAAATAACGGGGAAAGTAAAGAATTTTAAAAGATACACAATTTTAGCACCTTTAATCTATAACTCAACACCATCGTGTATTATTTGTGTAGGAGACACTGAATATTTCCCTTTTAATTCTTAGTGAATATATATCTATTAATTCTTAGTACTTTCCGATGAACTTACGTTTTGAAAAACGTTCTATGACAAAACCATAGCTCATTATTCTTTTTGATGCTTTACATAATAGTTTTCTTTTTTGATTTGCTATGGCTGAGATGATGGCATCACTGTAATAAGTGCCTTTGAGCTTTTGATTTTGCCATTTGCTTAGGGACTCTTCGTTTAGAACTTTTCTCGGAGTTCGGTATTTTTGTTATTTTACTTTTTCAATGAATAGCGTGCCGACGGTATAATTTCAAATCAGAGTTGGAGAAGCTTGGATAAGGGTGATTAATATTGTACACTTTAAATGTTTAATAAAACTACTACCAATACTATTCCTACATATCCCATGATCAACATTTGTGTTTTAAAAACTCTTGGTGAAAAAAGAATTCATTCGAACATTGATCCTCTTCATTCGAAATATTAAATGAGATTAAACTTTTTTAACATGCCTAACACGGTTTTTTTTTTGTAAAAAAGTAGTAATATTGTTTTTAATTCGTTGATATCAGGAAAAGGTCAACCAAGTGCTACCAAACGCAGGTAACTGCTTTCAATTTTGGCACCGTTTGCATTCCATTTGCAATACCATTTCAGTATTGAAAAAATGGTAGCATGAGTGTTTTTAATTAGCATTTAAATTAGCAGTTCAATTTCTAACAGATAGGATATATGTTAATTTCAATAGCATAAAAAAAAACCTAATTCATAGCCCCATAGCTTTCTCTTATTAATTCTTCAAGTTTAAACATTCATAGCTATTTTGTGTTGACTAAAAATAAAGTAAAAATGAATTCCATACCCAAACTATACCTTAATCTGACTCTTTCTGAAGAATTCAGCATATTTCAAATTGTTTATTAGAGAGCACTGGTTACCAAAAATTTAGTTGAACAAAACAGGTAATTCTTATCTGAGCAACAGGGCAAATATTCCTTCCTATCTTAACTTCAGTTATTTGTTTCATTATAAAAGAAACTTTCAACACGGATTCATCAGTAATCCAAAGTCCTTAAGATTCTTCGATACAAAAAGTGCCAAACTGTTTTATTTATTGAGGTCTGCATAGGAACTATTTTGTTTAAATTGTTTTTCCACTTTCATGACCGGGCCCCAATGAGTGGTTTTATACTTCTAACAGAAACAAACTTGTTATATTGACGTCTGCTTTATCTGATATCATTCTATGTTCTCATTCCAGCGAAGAAAACATCTAAGTCATTTGTTTACACAGTATTTCACAGCTTTCAAACAGTTCCTTTAGGTTAAAGGGTTTTTCCTGCATGGATATTCATTTTTCGCTATTTTCTATACGCTTTGTTTATCAAATTAACGAGAGAAAAAAGGGAAGGTCGTCAACGTAAACAACTAGTTTCCCCATCACATTTACATGTGCCTACCCCAAGTCATTATCATCGTAAATATTCTTCGTTTGTCATATTATATGTTTTTCGTTATTTTTAGTATTTGATGTTAATGGCATATTCGTTATAGCTTCTGTTTAATATATTCACAATTTTGTATGATTAAGAGCATGACTAATTGTATGAAATATGTACACATAGATTTGACTGTTTAGTCACCTCTCGAGAAACAAACTTACAACCATGTTATACATCGTTCGATAACCACGCACCTAGCGTAAAACAGAAATTCGAACCACTACATTAGATCAAATTATCAAAGAGAAAGTTTCACTGGGGCAGTGTTATCCATGCTTGTCACGAATATTTGTAATTAGTATTTGTCTTTACATACACAGTGCTTGAAGCTTTAATCATTATTATTTCAATCCGCTGCAGGCATATGGATCTAAATAGAATTCCTATTTATGAAATGACTAAAATATGTTTTCTGTCTTTGAAGAAATAACATCAAAAATGTGGTGCACCCGCTGCGCCATTTTTAAGGAGTTAATCATGAAAAAAAACGTTGATGACGTCACGGTCACATGACAAAATTATGTCTATGAGCTGATAGTAAAAAAACTTTCAGCCAATCAGAAGACGTGTTACATCCACAATTAAATTATATAGATATCAGCACTGTTTAAAATTCTATTAAATTATTTGCCTATGATAATGTATAACTAGTTCCCGCAACTAACAAATCGGATCTTAAGTGATGTAAGAAAGATGCAAGGATAATTAAATTGTGATCAAACCATGTCATAGTAATTGCCACTATCAAATTAAAATCGTCTGTAAACACATATTTGAATTTAAAGTCATCTTTGGAGAGACGAACTTACAATTATATAAATATACATAAGTATTTCATACATTCTTCGCTATGCTTACATATCACTACTCAAACATACGCAATGATTAGAACACTTTGCACCATAATAATTATCTGGACAAACACTGCATGGAAGGCCTCTCATTGATGTTGATCCAGGTGGGCATTCTGAAACATATACAGTAAGTGAATAATTCTTTTTTAACCTATTAAATCAAACTTTTATTCATGAACTATATTGATTAAAAGTCCTTCAGCATTATCCTCTTTGAATATAAAAATGAAGTAGCCATAATACTGATCGTTTTCTAAAAAAAAACAAAAAAAGTTGATAAATCGACAATAGAAAATATTTATTTATTATTTTACTAATAAAATTAACTGCACTAGAAACGCATAGATAAATCAATAATGAAAAAAATTACAAAAGCCAAACATTGTTTACCTTGACATTTACCCTGATCTTCATGTTTAGGTTCAAAGTTATCACAGCAGCCATCTTCAACACCACCAGTTTGATTCCTCCTACATTTAATGATAAACAAGCCTTAGGAAAAAAGGAATCAATGACTTAAAAATTGTATGAAAAATGGTAGAAGAACATTACCTTAAACGGAGAAAATGGAATTGAAAATTTAAATGAATTTCAATATGTTAGACTAAAAATAGGATCTTATAAAAAGCACAAACTCAATAACAAAAAGGCTGTTTGAATATGTAGTTTTACAACCTCTGGACAATTTTTTGTACTGAGGGTATCACCAGCCCAGTAGTCAGCACTTTTATGTTAATATGGAATATCATTGAAACGTTCCTTTTTAGTAAATGTACTGTTAATAAAACACATCCTTATTTTTACAAAAAGAAAATCATCTGTAGGGTTGCTGCTGGTCTTTAAACATTTTGGTTGAAACAAACGAAAACTCGATGGAAGAATTTATATTTTTTTGTGAAAGGTGACCTACCTTTGACATACACCAGTATTTTCCACACATTCAACAAATATAATGTGAATGTAAAGATAGAATATAAAGAAACAGTGCATTTGCAGAGTCAAGTGTGTATCCAGTTTGTCTGTGTATAACATCTAAACATCAAAGACCTGAATAGATGTCTCATCGGCAATCCCCATATTATTCATTTTTTCATATTTGAAATATCAACTTACAATTCTATTTATGTTAAGTGTGTAATTGTTTCCAAAATAGGTCATTTCCTATTTTATCAATAAATTTTACAAAATATTTCCTTGCTGTGCGGATCACCTTCAAAAAAAGTGTAACAAATATACCGAACTCCTAAGTAAATTAAAAAAGGAAAGTGCATAAAAACTGACGATATCAAAACTTATATATCAACTGAACAAGTGAAAAACAACTGTTATCTTCCTGACTTGGTACAGGCATTTTCAGAAGAAAATGGTAGGTTAAACCTGGTTTAAAAGCTAGCTAGCTAAACGTCCCACTTGTATGACTGTTGTTTGTAGTTCCGTTATATTGACAAAAATGGGTGATCAAACCAAACTGAGACAAAACTTGTGCTATGTATTTACTGAGAAGTGAATAAATAAAACTTCTTAATATACTTAAAGGTGTAAATATGCAAATGCATAGTTTGTCAACAGATTTAAAATCGAACTATTCCAAATACCAAATTTGCAATACTAATTACATATAAACCATGATTAAGAATAACGGGTCTAATGAGAACGAGCATAAGATTTCAAATACGTAGGGTATGCTTTTCCTTTCTAAGATTACTTAACAATCGTCTGAAGCCAAGTTTAGCAATTATCATTTTATAATGTCTTTTTTTACAATTACGTCAGATGTTTTCATCTATCAATTAGGATTACGTCATGAGTTTCGGCTATCTATCATGTCATATGTTTCCATATATTAATCAAAAATGCGATATACATGAATGTTTCCGCTTACAACTAAAAAGTGCAACTACACAATTTCAACAGACAATACGGCAATTAATAATTATTTCCATGTACATATTGAGCAAAACAAAAGTCACGGTTCTGAAAATACAAATACAAAAAACAAATTGTGTACATTAGAACGGAAAATGTGATGTTATCTGCGGAATTTGCAGATTTAAACTTCCAATCTGAGTTACTAAAGCTTCAAAACATGATTATTCAATAAGTCATCATTCTTGATCACATTGATTTCCTTATCCCTACAGACAAGTGCCTGTGTGAACACTGCAGGGTTGACTAAATGGTTCTGATTTTTGATATAACGCAAGTATGTTGTTTTAAACACCTAGTCTGCCATAAAATCATGCAAAACCGTCCACGTGGGTGCCATCAGATTTGATTGAGCTTGAAAGAAGTTCATCATAAAAAAATGTCATCTGGTTCCCATCCCTTTAAGTAAGGAGATGTATCGGGAACCAGTATCCAAAATGTTGAAAGCAGTATTTTTCTATGAAAATGACCAATTTCTTTACTCTAAAACTTATGGATGAGGAAAACAATGTGATCAAGAATGATGATTTATTGAATAATCATGTTTTGAAGCTTTAGTAACTCATCAGTACACAAATTTACAAAATAGAGGCGAAAGATATAAAAGAGACATGCAAACTCATGTCGAAAATAAACTGACAACGCCATGGCAAAAAAGAATAAAAAAAACCACACAAACAACAACACATAAAACACTGCAAAGAATATATAAGGACTGAGCAACACGAACTCCACAAAACACTAGGAATGATCTCATGTTTCAGAAGGGTGAGCAGATCCTGCTCCGCATGTGGCACCCGCCGTGCTGCTCATGTTAGTACAAACCTGGTGATAAGTCTAATTCGCTAGGTTATTTTCGGAGAAAAGAGGAAGAGGACAATTGGAACATATCCGTTGTCATCTGTGAAACAAATATTCCATAGCGGTCAACCAACTCGTGATGGCGTCCGTAAAATTTACGAAGGGATGATTTCAACTTCAACGCTTGGAACTCTTGGTTTAATAGCTTCCTTGTGAGCAGCAAATCTCTATTTGTCTATGGTAAGAAATACAAGCCCTGTAATATCGTATCAACTGGGAGATATATACTCCGTATGCAGATGCTGCTAGAATGTTGCTACATAGAAATGGAAAGATCACAATTGAGAAGCTGATATCATCTCTTTTGTCGTAAAATTTCTTTTTCAACCGACTCTCATTTTCTTCATTTGATTCATTGAACAAAAATGATATAACTGAGATCAGGTCTTATGGTAGACCCCCAGCACAAGTGCAGAAGGTTATGGAAGCTGTCATGATCCTCATTTTCAATTTTTCAAATTTTTTTTCAAGATATGAGGCAGACTTAACTGTATCTGTATCTGTTGTATCCTTTATCTCAAGTTTGATAGGATAGATCTGTTCAACAAAGTCACCAAATTTTGAATCATCTAGTCAGAGAGCATCATCAATATAGCGGAAAGTGAAGTTAAAGAATACTGCTAACATCTTTTTTTCTTCCTCAGAAGTTCCTTATGAAGTCAGCCTCACGTGGATAAAGAAACAAGTCGACAAGAAGAGGGGCACAGTTGGTTCCCAGTGGAATGCCGATTGTTTGTTGAAAAACACATCCTCCAAACGCAACAAATATGTTGTCAATCAAGAAATTCAGCGTCTTGATAATGTAAGTTTCAGACAATTTTTTGTTTGAATCAGTGTGATTTTTTACAAAGTAGGATTTATCCCTCCCTTAGACAAGATACTTGTATCTACGTTGGCCATTATTTTTTTTTGAAACAAAGCAGGACCAACTCTTTCAATTTGTTTTTTAGTTTGGAATGGGGGAATACTTGTGTAAAGTGTAGAAAAGTCAAATGTTTTAATACTATTGCAAGTTGAAAGAGTCTAAGATTGTATGTACTCTAAAAGATATTATGATTTTTTAAGTATCCATATCCGATTCTGACAAGGGAGATAATCCAATAAAATAATCGTCAGAAAAAAATAATAAAAAGTGCAAATTTTTAAAACTATGAAGCCTCTGGTCAATCAAAAAATTAAAGACAACTCCCTTTGTTTTGTTTTTTTTAAATTGGAATAGTTAATTATTTATAAAAAAGAAAATGTGGTATGATTGTCAATGACACAACTCTCTACAAGAGACCAAATGACACGGAAATTAACAACTATAGGTCACCGTACGGCCTTCAACAATGAGCAAAGCCCATACCGCATAGTCAGCTATAAAAGGCCCCGAAATGACAAATGCAAAACAATTCAAACGAGAAAACTAGCGGCCTAATTTATATACAAAATAATGAACGAAAAACAAATATGTAAAACAGCAACAAACGACAACCACTGAATTTCAGGCTCCTGACTTGGGACAGGCACATACAGAATATGGCGGTGTTAAACTAGTAGTCTGAAGTCGCCAACCCTCTCCCTAACATGGGACAGTGGTGCTACAGAACAACATAAGAACAAACTATAAAAATCAGTTGAAAAACGCTTAACTCATCAGATGGATACACATAGAAATACATCTAACAATAAAATGCTCCGCTGGGCGCAGCTTGATACGACCGCAGAGGTCGAACCCTGAACAGTTGGGGCAAGTATGGACAAAACATTCAAGCTTGATACAGCACTGAATTTAGATTGTGATTAAATATTTAACACAACATAGGTTTCTGACACAGAATGAATGTGTACTTAGAACTCAAACATTTTTAATTTACCTATTCAAACCATATCATTATTATTTGCTTTTATATATAAATCAGAAATAACCAATTTAAAATGGAAAATTTTAAAGAAAAAAAAAAGGAAAAAAGGAACCCCCCCCCCCCCCCCCCAATTTTTTGAACCCCCTTATGATTCATCACCCCAAACTCAATCCCAGCCTCTCCTTTGTGATATGGTATCTTGCTGTACCATTTCAGAGAGATCCATACACTTGAACCCAAGTTATTGTCTGGAAACTAGAAAAATGCTTGTTTTTTGGCCCCTTTTTGGCATCAAATTCCTAAACGTTTAGGGTAATTACCCCCCAAACTCAAACCCAGCTTTCCCTTTGTGATATGGAACCTTGTAGTACAATTTCATAAAGATCCATACACTTACACTCAAGTTATTGTCCTGAAACTAGAAAAATGCTTGTTTTTTGTCCCTTTTTGGCCCCTAATTCCTAAACTTTTGAGGCAATTACCCCCAAAATCAATCCCAGCCTTCCCTTTGTGGTATGGTATCTTGCAGTACAATTTCAGAGAGATTCATACACTTGAACACAAGTTATTGTCTGGAAACTAGAAAAATGCTTATTTTGGCCCCTTTTTGGCCCCTTATTCCTAAACGTTTTGGGCAACTACCCCCAAACTCAATTCCAGCTTTTCCTTTGTGATATGGAACCTTGTAGTATAATTTCAGAGAGATCCATACACTAACACACAAGTTATGTCTGTGATACAAAAATGCTGATTTTTGGCCCCTTTTTGGCCCCTAATTCCTTAACTGTTGGTACCATAACCCCCAAAATCAATCCCCACCTTCCTTTTGTGGTATTGAACCTTATGGTTAAATTTCATAGAGATCCATTCACTTAAACTAAAGTTAGAGTGCGAAAAACCAATGTCTTCGGGCGACGACGACGACGACGACGACGACGACGCCAACGTCATACCAATATACGACAGCAAATATTTTTTGCGCTCGTATAAAAACACAGAGCGGACGTGGACGGGTACTTATACATCCCAACAACAAGTACAGATCTGAGAGTACTCGCAGTTACTGACAGCTAGTTCAAAGCCAATAACAACTAATAAAAAAACATCATGCATCTAACACTAAATTATCAATCAGTTCACATCCAACTTCCAATGGATTTAGTGTAAAGACGTCATAAACACAGAGAAAAACATGACCTTGTGCAATGCCAAGATACAGGTTTCAACAGATTGTAGAGCCATGAATGTGCATTATGTATAAAATAAAAATATTTAGTTTTTTACTGATAACAAAATCAATATTAATACCAATAAAAACAGTATTCAAAGATCTAATTACTGTGTTGAATTGGTAACCTTTTAGAATAAGTTTATTTAAAGGATCGATAAGTTTACCCGGATCACCTATTCTGACCTATTCCCAGTTCTTGTCCTGCTTTTTCAGTTTCTATCTATCTAT